TTAAGCATTCTCATATTTCCCAGACAGCTTAGCTGGATATAACTAAAATACTAACAGAAAGACATCGTGATCTACAGTAAATCCCACTCAGAAGCAGCGAGTGCAAAAGTGTTACAGTACCTGGGATATGAAGGAGGCCTGGAGCCCTGCCATATCAACCCCACTCACGGAGCTTGAACGTGACAGCGTTGGAGTACTTGAGACTGTTTCTGTTGTTGACTGAGTAAATAATTTGCGCTCCTTGAGGGAAACATGTAATATCCAGAAAAAAAGAACATGGGTTAGTGTGATTTTCTGAATGAGCACAAATTCATGCCTTACTTGCATCAGGATGAGGGCAAAGGTATAATAAAGCACAGGTTCTGCTCTTACAGTCCGGATGGGCCAATTTTGAATTGTTTAAATAACATAACAGCCTTCGTAATGTAACTTATTCTCACTCAGTTTTGTGGATTTAGTTTTAAAAAATGACTAGTATCCACACAAGAGAATGAACCCCTGAAGTCTCGCAAGCATCTCAAACCTATAGGTAGATCCATAGCTTATGCCTATAAGATTCTTTGTATATTTGTCAATTCAAGGAATCCATAGTATTTTGCAAGCAGATTAAGACACTGGTTGTTAACCTTTAATCCACTACCAACCACCAAGTATAGAAGATCATCAGACATCTCCAAGCCACAAGGAAAAAATTAGGTCATAATAAGGGTACTCTAGACAAGGTAATTTTAGTTACATAGGTATAGTTATGATCTGCGTATTGTATGCATGTATCTCAGGCATGTATTCAATGAGACTCATGTGCCTGAGGCCAATCAGCCAACTTCTTCATGCCAAGCTGAATTCCCATCTGCTGCGTACCACTTTTTAAAAGGCCTGTGAGAAAAACTCAAGATCTGATATTTTATCTACAGACCGGTATAAAACTACTCATCTCCACTGGTTGTCAAAAGCCACTGCAAAGAGGAGAATGAGGCTGCCTAAGTTCCCAAATGCTCCCACCTCACGTTCTGTATAACCCCATGATTTGAAAATTGCCTCCCTGGGGTAGGGTTGCCAGGTCTGGGTTGGAAAATACCTGGAGACTTTGGGGGTGAAGCCAGGAGAGGGCAGGGTTTGCGGAGGGGAAGGGCATCAGCATAGTACAATGCCATAGAGTCCACCCTTCAAAGCAGTCTTTCTCCAGGGGAGCTGATCTCTGTCAGCTGGAGATCAGTTGTAAAAGTGGGAGATCCCCAGGCCCCACCTGGAGGCTGGCAACCCTACCCTGGGGCAATATGGCTCTTGGTAAACATAAACAGGTTTTTTTTCCAATCATGCCCCCGTGAATGTACCTTAATTAGGAACCGGGGGGGGGGGGGGGAATTAAACATTCCTAAATGTAATCAAGACAAAAAATAAGAGGACCAAAGACAGTGTTCATAGACAAGAGGACCAACGGAAAAGGAAGGAGTAAGCCATGCACAAAAAGTAGGACTTAGGTCACTGAAAGCAGATACCCAGGGAAACAAAGGTCACAAAACAAAGTATCATACGAACACATGAAGCTATCTTGTACACAGTCAAACCACTGGTCCATCTAAGCTCACAATTGTTTACTCCGAGTTAGATTCAGGAATGGAAAAGTACCTTTTCTCTTGCTGTTTCTTGTGCAAAGATTGCTTTCTTTTTTTCTTGTTCTACTTTCATTTTCTCCATTTCTAACTGAGTAGCTAACAGCGTCTAAAGAGAGTAACACATTATCTTAACTCAATGGAAACTTTATATTATACTAAAGTTATATTATATCAAGGACTTAAACAAACCTTTTCTTTCTTTGCCTCTTCAGCAGTTTTAATATATTCTTCTTTAAGATTTTCAAGCTCAACTTCATACCTGTGTTAAAGAGAAAGAAAAGTCTGTAGAAAAAAAATCAATAAAATGTATTTCTATTGTTAGTTCATACAACAGAATTTTAAGAAAAAGACAATTCATCTCTGTGTCTGTCTCTGGTTATTTATCTACAGGATGAACGATCCATATTATTAGTGTGCAGAAAGGCCTCATAAGCAAGTTGATACAAAATTTAGACCCACGTAGGACACACCTATTATAATCTTCACTTTGACACAGTTTGGTCATCAATGAGATACACAACCAATTTGTGTGACCTTCACTACAAATGGGTTTAATTTCTAAGACGACTGGTTGGTAAATCCACAGCATCAGCATTCAGGAATGGTTCTCTACCAGACTGATTTTTATTATGTTGCCAGTTAATGGTACAATCCTTTCTGCTTTCTACTGCCTTCAATCAAATGTTCCCAACAAAATTAAAAAGGACCTAGTTTTGAAAGTGACAGATAATGCTAACTTTCCACCTTGGCTACTCAAAACATGCATATCTCCTAGAGGAAGTATACATTTTTAAAAGTAATTTACCGATTGTTTTCATTCTCAAGTTTCTTGAGCCTGGTTTTCTCTGCTTCTAGCTGAGCTTGAAGGCGGCTATTTTCTTGTCTGAGGAGACTATTCTGTGATTCGGCAGAAGATAACTGGATTTTATTGGAAAGAAGTTCTTCTGTAGCAGCGCGTTCTCTTTCCGCCTGGGCCGCTAGGGCAGTTTGAGATTCCCCTAACAATAAAAATGCATTGGACTGCTAAATGTTTCATTTAGGCATCTGTTGTTTGGAGTAACAGCAAAAAACACTCAGCATTTTTCATAAATTTATAGAGATGTTTGCATTATTACTAATCAGTTGAAAGTTTCATTGCTGAATGACAGACTATATGTTTATTTCTCTGTCCTCCCTTACAAAATAATTTGGCTTACTAGACACATTCCATTTTGAATGTATTTTCCCTACTCCTACTTTATCAAACTTTATTTACAATGACCAAGGTCCAAAACACCTACACAATTTGTTCCAGCCGTCTACATACACATACACACTCTTCTCCAGATTGTTCCTAAAAACCAGGGATCTTGTGGAGCAACATTTGATATTGTAGGATGAAACGTGGGAACACACACACAAACCTTGAATATGGAAGTTCTTTTTGATCATACACATGCATATCCTAGCCAGTCAAATCAGTGTACTACCGCAACACAGATGCCAGATTTTCCGTTCTGTGACCCTAGGAGGGGGATGTGGAATGGTACAGTACAGCTCCATCTCATCAGATCTCGGAAGCTAAGCATGGTCAGCACTTGAATGGGAGATTGCCAAGGAAGACTGTACAGAGAAAGACAACAGCAAACCATTGCTGTTTCTCACTTGCCTTTAAACCCATTGCAGGGGTAGCTGTAAATTGGTTGCGAGCTTGATGGCACTTACATGTACATAGACCTAGCAACTTAATAGCCCAGCCTAGCCCAATCTCATCAGAGCTTGGAAGTTAATCAGTGTTGACCATAGGTAGGACTTTGACAGAAAACCATCAAGGAAGACAGAGATTGCTATGTAGAGGAAGGCAATGGCAAACCATCTTTGCTCCTCTCTTGTAATGGAAGCTGTAAAAGGTAAAAAGGATTCCTTTAAGCGGTGGAAAGCTAGTCACAGTGAGGCTGATAAAACAGAACACAGGCTATGGCAAATAAAATGCAAGTCTGTGGTCAGGCAGGCAAAAAGGGAATATGAGGAGCATATAGCAAAAAAATGTAAAGACCAACAATAAAACTTTCTTCAAATACATTAGAAGCAGGAAACCAGCCAGGGAGGCAGTGGGGCCCTTGGATGACCAAGGGATAAAAGGAGTACTGAAGGATGATAGGGAAATGGCTGAGAAGCTAAATGCATTTTTTGCCTCCGTCTTCACTGTGGAAGATGAGAGGTGCTTGCCCACTCCAGAGCCGCTGAGTTCGGGAGGGGTGTTGAAAGACCTGAGTCAGATTGAGGTGACGAGAGAGGAGGTCCCTAAACTGATAGACAACTTAAAAACTGATAAATCACCAGGCCCAGATGGCATACATCCGAGAGTTCTGAAAGAACTCAATTGTGAACTTGTGGATCTCCTGACAAAAATATGTAATCTCTCCTTAAAATCAGCCTCCATTCCTGAGGACTGGAAGGTAGCTAATGTCACTCCCATCTTTAAAAAGGGTTCCAGAGGAGATCCGGGAAATTACAGTCAGTCTGACGTCGCGTCGATACCGGGTAAATTGGTGGAAACCATTATTAAGGAAAGAATTAGTAGGCACATAGATGAACAAAACCTATTGAGGCAGACTCAACATGGGTTCTGTAAGGGAAGATCTTGTCTCACTAACCTGTTAATGTTCTTTGAGGGGGTGAACAAACATGTGGACAAGGGGGATCCAATAGATATTGTTTACCTTGACTTCCAGAAAGCTTTTGATAAAGTTCCTCATCAAAGGCTCCTAAGTAAGCTCAAAAATCATGGGATAAAAGGACAAGTCCTTTTATGGATCAAAAACTGGCTAATTAATAGAAAACAGAGAGTGAGTATAAATGGGCAGTTCTCCCAGTGGAGGGGTGTAAGCAGTGGGGTACCACAGGGATCAGTACTTGGTCCACTGCTTTTTAACTTGTTCATTAATGATTTGGAGTTGGGAGTAAGCAGTGAAGTGGCTAAATTTGCGGATGATACGAAGTTGTTCAGGGTGGTGAAAACCAGTGAGGATTGTGAGGCACTCCAAAGGGATCTGTCAAAGATGGGCGAGTGGGCGTCAACATGGCAAATGGGGTTCAATGTGGCCAAGTGCAAGGTGATGCACATTGGAGCCAAAAATCCTAACTATAAATACACGTTGATGGGGTCTGAACTGGCAGAGACAGATCAAGAGAGAGATCTTGGAGTTGTAGTAGATAACTCACTGAAAATGTCGAGACAGTGTGTGACTGCAATAAAGAAGGCCAATGCTATGCTGGGGATTATTAGGAAGGGTATTGTAAACAGATCAGCCAATATCATAATGCCGCTATATAAATCAATGGTGCGACCTCATCTGGAATACTGTGTGCAATTCTGGTCACCACACCTTAAAAAGGATATTATAGCTTTGGAAAAAGTGCAGAAAAGAGCAACTCGAATGATAAAAGGGTTGGAACACTTTCCCTATGAGGAAAGGTTAAGGCGCTTAGGGCTCTTTAGCTTGGAGAAACGACGACTGAGGGGTGACATGATTGAGGTTTATAAGATTATGCATGGGAAAGAGCAGGTAGAGAAAGAGGTACTTTTCTCCCTTTCTCACAATACAAGAACCCGTGGGCACTCCATGAAATTGCTGAGCGGTCGGGTTAGAACGGATAAAAGGAAGTACTTCTTCACCCAAAGAGTGATTAACACTTGGAATTCACTGCCACAGGAAGTGGTGGCAGCTACAAGCATGGACGGCTTCAAAAGGGAATTAGATAAGCATATGGAGCAGAGGTCCATCAGTGGCTATTAGCCACAAGGTATAGATAGGGACTCTGGGGCAAGTGATGCTCTGTCATCTTGGTGCTTGGGGGGGGTCAACAGTGGGAGGGCTTCTAATGTCCTGGCCCCACTGGTGGACCTCCTGATGGCACTGGTATTTCTGGCCACTGTGGGATACAGAGTGTTGGACTGGATGGGCCTTTGGCCTGATCCAACATTGGCATCTCTTATGTTCTTATGTTCTTACGTTCTTGCTTCGGAAGCCCCATGGTCCTGGGGTTGCCATGAGTCTGTTGCTCCTTCACTACATGCAGTTATTGTTATTTAACCTAGTCCTACTGCATTGTTTCTGGAGATCTTTCCTGACTGACTGAGGTGTCTTTTGTATTTTGTAATCCGCCTTGAGTTTCAGTGAGAAAACTAGGGCATAAATGAAATTATTATTGTTAATAACAATAATAATCATCCTGCATGTTTATGTATACACTTGGATAAACACATGGACTGTTACTTTCAGGAACATATATTTGAATCAAGATCTTAAAATTTTTAACAGAAATTTTAATCAGAATTTAGCTTCTTAATTTTATGCTTTCAGTGGAAGTTCTTGGTGTCCCCATTACATGAAAAATCCTCCCTGATCTTCTTATCAAACTGATAAATCTTTTGCCTTACCCAGCCTATCAGAAAGATTTTTCTCTAGCTTCTCCCAAGACGTGGTCTGTGCTCCCAAGGTCACCTGTAGGTTCTCTATTTGCCGCAAAAGTGGCCTTGTAGCAGAGGTGACACTTTGGCTGAGCTCTTGATTGCGAGTCTCTGCTTCTTGAAGTCTCTAAAATCAGAAATGGGATAAGTGAAGCCCTAGAAGAGCACAAATATAAACATTTAACAGTTCGCCACAATTTAACAAGCAAAATATTATGCCAGAACCGATATTAGCTGTCAATTTTTTGTTTAAAATAAAATTGCAAGTAGTATCCTATAAAACTATATTTGTTTTTTTAAAGAAAGATTCCTTGCCAAGAGGAACCTTGTATCTAGATAAAACAAAAATATGCACATATTGACTGACTCCCAATAATTTCTTTCCTTCTATTTGTCAGGGGAATGGAAAGGAGTAATTGGGCTTATTTTACTACACAGAATCTAGGTACAGCATTTAAAAACTTTGGTCTAGATGCCATGCACCACTGGAGATGCTTGCATGAGTGAATTTTTCTTGTCTCCCCCTTCTTCCAGCAGCTACATCTGAGCTGTGAAAAGATAATGCTGAAGAGCAAGCAGATGGCCCTGCTTGGATGGAAAGCCATGAAACCTGAAGAACTGCCGTGAGAAGGGATAGCAGGTACAATGGCCCCACCTCCCTCCCTGCTGCTTTGGCTGACCCAAGGGGCCAGAAAGAGATGGAGAATTCTGCTCACTTTCCCCATCTCAATGCAGCTATCTGCGTGGTACAGCATTTCACCAACACAAGTCCCCCAGGCTTTTCACAGGTACCTGCTAAAGAAAACTACAAAGACAGAAAAGATCCACCTCCATCACCATCTTGTACTGGCACTGGATAGCATATAGCCCTTTATTTCCCCAGGCAGGTTGAAATGTAGAGGTTCTTGTCCTTTGTACTGTTTTATTACTGTTTGTCTACCTCTTCAAACTGACATGTTACTTTAGTCCTCTGTCAGGCAAGCAAGCAAAATAAAGCTTTTCTTTAAAAATACTGGATAAATATATAAGCCTTCCCCTCTAAGCCTCTAAGAGCTGCTAGGAGAACATTCTGTAGATGAGGAGCCACTGTAGAAAGAAGCATCTTTCTAGTAGCAACGAGGCTGGGGCTCACAGAGGAGGACCTCAGCAGGTGACCACACCTGAGACTGAAAATGGAACTTGAGACCAAAAGAAGTGGAGAATGGTCATTGGTTACTCACCGTGAAGGGTCCTTCTCCTCTGAGGCTTGGAGGACCTCTTGTGGGTGATTCCTATCCATCACTTAGGGAGGTAAGACTAATTTCAATTACTTCCTGTTTCCTGTAGTGGGAGTCACCCTAGGCTCAGTTCTGGTGCTCCAAAAGCAATACACTAACTTAACCACTATAAAAAAGAGAACTTGAACATCAACAACAAGAGTATAGCCAAAATCACAAACATTGGAACAGGAAGAAAAAGGTAATAATAATAATAATTAGAGTGTGAAAGAACAGCATAGTAGATAGAAGAAATGATGATCTGGAAGGGCCAAGATGTCCTCCAAGCCTCAGAGGAGAAGGACCCTTCACGATGAGTAACCAATGGCCATTCTCCCTCTGAGGTGGAGGACATCTTGCGGGACCTCCCAGAGCAGTGTCCCTAATTTTGGGGAGGGTGGTCGTCATCAAGAGTTAGAACAGACTGCAGCACTCTCCATCCGAATGTTGCATCAGCAGAGTCATACATATCTTGTAATGCCTGATGAATGTGGATAACGAAGACCACGTAGCAGCCCTGCAGACTTCCTCCACCGATGCCCTGTTGGCAAAGGCCACATTCGTTGCAGTAGTGCGAAGAGAGTGGGCCCTGATACCTGCAGGAACTCGTTTCATACTCCTGTAGGCTTCAGTAATGCAGGACCTCATAGTGTTGCTTATGGCAGAGTTAGACATCTTTCTCCCTCTGTGAAGAGGAGAAATATTAACGAACATAGCTTCTGTCTGTCTGAAAGAGGCCATTCTGAGAACATAGCATTGAGCGCTCTCCTCACATCCAGTGTATGTCAAACGTTTTCCTCCAGATGGGTTGAATTTGGAGAAAATGATGGCAAACAAATCTCTTGAGATCTGTGAAACTTAGTATTGACCTTTTGGCAAAAAGGTGGAATCTGTTCTCAGAACTACCTTGTCTTTGTGAAAAACAAAGCTCCGACTGAATTGACAGTATGCCTAGTTCCGAAATCCACCTGGCTGAAGTAATGGCTACCAGGAACAAAGTTTTCATCCTCGGGAATTTGAGCAGAATGTGCTACATTGGCTCAAAGGGTTCCATCATAAGAGCTGTGAGAACAGTATTAAGCTTCCAAGTTATAAACCTATGTCTCTGTGGAGAATCCTTGAATGATGCTCCTCTGAGGAAATGACGAATGTGAGAGTGCTGAGAGATGTTAAGGCAATTGTACCGGGGCAGGACCAAAGCCAGGGTCACCATCTGTTTCTTGAGGGTCGCTGCCCTGAGACCATTTACTAGACTGTCCTGTAGGAACTCCAGTAGTGATCTAATTTCTGGATGCAATGGGTCAGCCTTCTTCCACTGAGCCCATCGAACAAAGGTCTTCCAAGTAGTATTGTAGAACCTTGAGGTAGACGGCCTCTAGAGGCCATGATCATATTGATGACTGGCTCTTTGTAGCCTAGTTTTGATAGTTACTCCCTTTCAGTCTCCATGCGGTTAAGCAGAACCACCCTGGCCTGGGATGCTAAATTGAACCTTGAAGCAGCATGTCTTCTGAGACTGGAATGGTTAGAGGAGGAGTCACCACCATCTCCTGTAGCAACATGAACCAAGGATGACAATGCTGGTATGGTGCCACCACTATGATCTCTGCCCTTAGAACTCGTATCCTCCAGAGAAGCTTGGGGAGTATAGGAAGAGGAGGAAATGTATAGAAGAGCCCCTCGTGCCAAGTGAACAGAAGGGCATCCGTGGCCTCCGCCTGGGGATGAAAATATCTGATGTAAAATCTGTTCAGTTGGTTGCTGAGCAGAGAGGCAAATACCATGGAGTTCCCAGTGTCGTCACTATGAGCCGAAAAAACTCTCTTCTGTAGGGACCATTCGCCCTCCTGGACTGTCTGGCAGCTCAGCCAATCAGCTTTGGTGTTGATGACTCCCTTCGCATACTCTGCCCTGATCGATGTCAGATTGAATTCTGCCCAATTCAATAACTGAGTTGCTTCCCTGTGTAGGGCTAAGGACCTGGAACCCCCATTCGATGAGGCAAGCCTTCACTGAGATGTTGTTCATCCGAACAAGGATGTGGATCCCCCTGATCTGAGGGGCGAAGTGTTGAAGGGCCAGCCTAATGGCTCGAAGCTCCAAGAGATTGATTGGCAGTTTCCTTTCTGCTATGGACCATCTGTCCTACACTGGTTGATGGAGTAAAGTGCCCCCCCCCCCCAGTCTGATAGACTGGTGTCATAGAAAATTTTGATCTGGTCCTGGATCCAAAGGGACTTGCCTTGAGACAGAGTGTTCAACTTGATCTACCAGTGCAGACTTAATTTCACCTAAAGATGAGTCTCCCCCACGCAGAAACGTGGGAATCTTTGATGGTGTAAGAAGATTGGAACGTTCATGTATTCCTCTGCCAAGTTGATGGAGGAGAGGAACTCCCCGGGTTGTAAGGATTCCACAATGGATCTGAGGGTCTCCATGCGAAAGTGTCTGGGTTCGACATATCTGTGTAAGTATTTCAATCTAGGATAGCCCTCCAATCCTCGTTCTTTTTGGGGACTGTGAAGAAGATGGAGTAGACCCCAGTCTCTTGATTGTTTACAGGGACAGTTCTATCGCCTGAATTTCCAATAAGTGATTTGTCATAGATCTGGAGGAAAGATCTATCCGTAAGACAAAAGAGTTTTGGTATGGACGTAAAAATAGTTGTAGTTGTCTGGAGTGAAACCTTCCCCATTGTAGCATGTCAAAAGCCACGACCATGAGGCCCATCATTTTGGTCAGGGTGAAGTCCTGGCTTGAATAATTTGGTTAACCTACTCTTTGATCTTTCTGGCCTTTTTGACAGGAAGATAAAGCTTTGTAGCTCGAGTGTCCATCACCACTCCAAGTGTTCCAGACGCTGTGTGAGAGTCAAGAGAGCTTTTCTGCATGTTCACCAGGAACCCAAAGTCTTGCAAGCACTGTGAATGTGAATCCCTTGTTCTCGATGACAAATGGCCAGATGAACCAGGACCTTTGTAAACACCCAGGGAGCTGATGAGAAGCCAAAGGGCAGGGCTTGGAACTGGTTCTGTCTCTCTTTATTGGGTTTTTGTGTATAGGAGAGACGATGAAACGCTGAGGTGAAATTGAATGAAATTCTATCTTGTATCCTTCTGTGACGAAGTCTTTGTCCAGAAGTCAGGATGGGAGGCAGACCATGCTTGGATGAAATGTAGCAGACGCCCCACCACCACCAGTGGATTCAGATAGTCATACCTTTGAGGCTTCGGGGTCCCGATCCCCTTTTGTCCAGTCTGTCGCCACTGGAACCTGTTATGGAAGCCTCTGTAACGAAAGGGCTGATTGTTGCCACCCCATGAGGGTCTTCTGTTGTCTTGCGGAAACCTGGGTAGTGTATGGTATGAACGAAAAGAAGAGGGGCCTGCTGCCGTCTTATCCCCCAAGCTGTACAGCCTTGGGTAGAGTCTTCTTCTTGTTACAGGTTTCCACTAAGATTTCTTTCTTTGTATATTTGTTTCCAGTGGATCCCCGAAGAGCTTGTCTCCCTGAAATGGGTATGCTGTGACGATGGCATTAGATTGGTAATCTGTAGGCCAAACTCTTAGACGATGTGGTGGCGGCTGATGCCATCACCCTGGAAGCAAAGACCATGGTGTCTAGTGTGGCATCGGCAGTATAGGAGATGGCTTTCAAGATCCTACTGGCACCCTCCAGTAGTCTGCGGTTGCTGCCTGGTAACATCTGTATCAATTTATGCACCCACACAATGGTTGCTTTAGACACTGTGGATGCTGCAGCTGGCATATTGATTGCCATGGAAGTGGCCTCATGTCCGTCTTCAGAGAGCAACCCAAAGGACTGAAGGGCAGTCGCTGGTGCAGGTACCTGCAAAAGATCCAAAGCAGATGATATCAAAGGGTACAACTTTTTAACAACCCTTGGAAATGGTTATTGGCTTTGCCGACTCTGCCTTCACATAGAAATCAGGGAAGGGGAAGGGGAAGGCTCTTTTGGAGAAATCAGCTGAAGGAAAGAAATCAATGAGCTCTGTGCCATCTTTCTGCCCTTGGGCATTAGCACTCTTGTCCCCTGCCTTTTGGGGTCACTATATATTGAGTGCTGATAGACAGCGAATACTGAAAAACCTCGCCCTTGAAATATCTAAAGGACTGGTCTGAGACAATCATTTTCCCCATTCATCGTCATTACATGAAAATTCCCCCCCTCCTTTTCACTAGAGACATGTGAGAGGCTATCCCTCTCACGTGAAGGCAGATCAAATAGGCAGTGCTCCTTGGGGGACCCTTTTTGTGCAGCTTTCGTGGGCCAGCTGCCTCTGTTCTTGCACCTCCAAGGAGAGGAGGAGGGGAGGGGGATATAGTAGCCTCATGGCCCCCTGATCAGCAGAAATGTGCTATTTCCTCCCCCATGGCTCTTATAAAGAAGGCCATCACATTTGGAAATAAGGGGACAGACCTGGGATTGCCAACATTACCGCTATGCAACTCATCATCTTCCTCGTCCCCTTGAGAATTATCGGCACAATCACGCCTAGCTCGATGAACCCATTGAACTATAGGTCTCTGGGTGCACTATGTGCGGGATTAGGCTCTGCTCGCCATTCCCGTCTTAAAGCATAGAGTGGCCAGTGGACTCCAAAATGGCCGCTGAGGCTGGTGCGGGCTCCGTAAATGCTGCAGGGTTGTGCAGCTGTTTGGCGCACTTTGGAACGCCATCCTCGCCTTGCTCTGCTCGTTGAGCGTCGGCCACCGCCATGACCCTCTTTTTTGCCGCACCGTCTCTTTGTCTCCAGGGATCCCAGCAGCGTCTATCTCCAGAGTGGAGAGAAATCCATTGCTATCCTCTCTTGATGCCATGGAAGGCGGTCTGGGAGATCCCCTCCCGTTTAAAAGAGCAACCAGCCCAATAATGCTCAACCTCCAAAGGAGGGGGGGAAGAAGAGAGGATAACATATAGGAAGGAAGAAGAAAAGGTTTCTTGTTTTGTTTTTTAAAGTTTCTTCAGAGAGAGGGAACAGCAAAGATGGAAGGAGAAAGTGAAAGTACGTTAACTCAAAAAGATAGGGTTAGGTAGAGGCTACATCTAGCTGCTCTCCCTTCTGAGACAGGAAAAGAACTGAGCCTAGGGTGACTCCCACTACAGGAAACAGGAAGTAATTGAAATTAGTCCTGCCTCCCTGAGTCACCCACAAGATGTCCTCCACCTCAGAGGGAGAACTATACATATAAACAGCTGATTAGAGTTTGGAGGAACAAATGGGAGATGATCTTAATCTGCAACAAGGGAACTCCATAAAGTCACTCATCTGATAAACAGAGATTCTTACATGCTGCAGTGGAGGAAAGGGGATTCAAAAGATGGAGCAGCTTCAGAACGAGGGGTGGGTCTAAGCACAAGTTCTGAAAACCACTGTATTAAATGCTGAAGAGTACTGCAATAAAGTGGACACCACTGGCCCTGCTCTCTTAAGAGTGCATTAAGAGACATTCAACCTTCCAGTGTTAGCCAATTAAGACTCCAATATGGTGCAGACCGTACAGTTTCACACAGATAAGGAACCTCAGATGTGTGGCTCAGATGTGTGGCCCCTTTCACTCAAAGTAGTAAGCATCTTCTTAAAAAATGATTGCAACAAGTCCCCAACAAACTGGAGCTGATGGGAGGGGGGGTAGGGATGTGAGAGTTACCTGTCTACATGCATGTGCATGCAAAGGAATATACAGCTAGCTCTCTGGTCAGCTTAAAAGTGTAGCCTTCAGACACTATAACCCTGTTCATACAAAAAAAAAACCTAACAACTCTTTAAAACTCATTCCTCCCTGTTCTACCTTGCAGGAAGGAAATTAAAAAATTAACTGTGTGTGAATAAAAACAGTTGTAGGGAATGCAAAACACTACAGACAGTTTGACATCATACAGAAGTAATTTCTAGTGTACCTCTTGCAGTTCAGCAATTTCTTGGCGCAAATAATCTTCTTTTCTAGCTGTCTGCTGCTCTGCACGCTGCAGGGCCACTCTTAAATCTGCCACCTGCATAAACAGGAATGAAGATATAGTACGTTGCACTAAACACACAAAACCACTATTACTTGGTCCTTTCATCCATATATCAGTGATATACTGAAACTCCAGTTTGCACTTACACTTGGAACAGACATTGTGTTTAACAGGAATTTTTTTTAATCGCTGCATGAATGATCTGACTGACAAAAAGAAATTCTTCAGTTAAAGCCTCAAGTATATAAACGCAACTTACTTCACCCTGATCTAAATCTGGTTCCTTCATAATAGCATTTTGGCAAGATGGCCCATTTCCCTCTTATCCTTTGCTCCTCACACTTGCAGCATTTCAGGGGCACTCTGAGCAGTGGAGGCTCAATGGGGTGAGAGTTTTGGAAGCCTTACTAGGTACATGAAGCTTGCCACATTGTTTCACAAGGGGAAACCATGACTACTACCCTCACAGCCTGAAATCCACCACTGCCTTGCCTTACCTTATTAGTCAGCCCTCATTCCGTGCAATTCAAAAATATGCCTTTCATCAGTCCCAAGCTGTGAATGACTATGCCAGGTATGCACTCAATCAGATCTCTAAATATTTAAAAAAATTGCTTTGGAAGCACAGTGTTCCCTCTAAGCTGAGTTAGCGTGAGCTAGCTCACAGTTTTTTAGCCTCTGGCTCACACATTGTTGTCTCAGCTCAGGAAGGATGCCTCCAGAGCAAACTAATTTATGCAGTAACCAAATCTCTCGCTCATAACTTTAATACCAGTAGCTCACAAGGTAGAATTTTTTCTCACAAGACTCCACAGTTTAGAGGGAACATTGCTGGTAACTGTGATTTCCAGTTCTGTAATCATGCTTCAACCCAGCTCTATTTCTGCTGTGTGCAGTATGATGTTCTGCTGCACTACTCTCCACTTCTGTAATGCTGTATTAGTACATTCTCTAATTTTGTTAGTTCAACATATCGGATTGTTGTTCCTGAATTTTTTGGTTGCAATTTCCCTTGATTTTCAGCGAGAAAGGCAAACTAGAGTTTGTGCTGCTGTGGTTCAAGTTTTTTAAATGTTAGAGAACACACCAGCGTACCAACTTTTGTCAAAAATACGTATGTCAGTTGTTGTGCCCAACCTGAATTGCTAAAGCTTCTTGTTGCTGACGAGCTTCCTCTTGGGCCTTCTCCAAAGCTAAGCCAAGCTCCTCCTTAGCTTTCATTTCACAACTTAACGCTGCTTCTTGTGCCTCACTGTCCTTTGTAGCGTTAGCTTTATGAAGATCTGCAAGATCTCTGAAAAAATATGATTTTAGAACATAAAAACATGCACATATTTTAGAATACTACAGAAAATACAGTTGACAGTACACTAATGGACAGATTTCAACTTAGTATATTAAAATCTGAATTCATCTATTGTTGCAGAAGTATCCCTACCGATATGAATTATCAAGGGCTGCTTGGACACTCCGGTTCCTCTCTTCAAGCTCTTCTACTTCCACCTGGAGTCTGCTAAGGTCCTTCTCCTGCCGTTCAACCAAACTATTTAGCTGCTTAATGCTCTCCCGGTGCTGTTTCTCAACTTCTTCTTTGCCATCCAATACCTTTTACAATGGAAAGCAACCGCAATCTATCAGTGTGAAATAGCTTCCCATTTACAAAGCACTCTAAATCCAACTCAGTCCAAGAAACCGGAAATAAAGGGTCTTCTAAAAATCTTATTATTGACAAAGAGTAAAATGTGGCTATAGATTATGGAGAACATATAAGTAATGAAGAAAACCCAGCCAGATAATTGGGGTCCACAGCTTGCAAGAATGAGACAGGAAACAGTGATACCTATAACTACGAGACCAAAGTAGTTACCTATAACTACGAAACCAGCAGCTGTGTGTCTCCCTTGGGAAGAGGCCCCCCACACATACATTTCTGTGTGTTTCATATGAAGACACAGGGTAAGAATTTGGATCTTCCTTTAGTATATCTTCAAAACTGAGTTTCATGGCTGTTGTATGTTTACAGATCTTTATTATTTATTTATTTATTTATTATTTTAGATTTCTATCCCGCCTTGCCTGCACATGCAGGCTCAAGGCGGCGTACACAGATTAAAATGCCATAAAATACAAATGCATAGATTAAATACATAGATCACAGTGCAATGCATATACAATGCAATACACAGATTACAAATACATAGACTAAAATACCATGAAGTACAAATGCATAAATGCATAGTGTAAAATTCAAACCCTAATATACATAAAGTACAATTGATAGAGATGGTGTTTACTGGAGTTTAGACCAGTATCCAGTTGTCTTAATGCTGGTAATTTAGCATGGGCCTTGATGGTTGCAGCAGCTGCAGCTTTTAGATTTGGGACAAGGGCAGCCCCATGTAGAGAGCGTTGCAGTAGTCCAATCTCGAAGTGACCATTGCATGGATCACTGTTGCCAGGTCATTGCATTCAAGGAAGGGAACTAACTGCCTAATCAGCCGTAGATGGTAAAAGGCTGCCTTGGCGGTGGCTGCTACCTGGGCCTCCATTGTTAAGGTGGCATCCAAACTCCTGACCCTCAGCGCTGGCACCAATGGTGCCCCATCGAAGGTTGGTAGTGGGATCCCTAACCCCGACCCAGTCTGACTTAGGCACAGGACCTCCGTCTTCGTCAGATTCAATTTCAATCGGCTCAGTCTCAGCCAGCCCACCACATCCTGAAGCGCACGATCCAGGTCCTCTGGGGTAGAGTCGGACTGGCCGCCCAACAACAGATATAGCTGGGTGTCATTCACATATTGGTGACACCCTAGCCCATGCCTCTGAGCAATCTGAGCAAGGGGGCGCATGTAGATGTTAAATAACATTGGGGATAGCACCGCCCCTTGGGGGATCCCCCAAGTCAGCGGGTGCCTCTGGGCCATCTGCTCCCCTAGCGCCACCGACCTTGGAGAAAGGTAGCAAGCCATTGCAAGGCGAGCCCCTGAATCTCTGTGTCGGCAAGGCGGTGGATCAGTAACTGTTGGTCGACCGTGTTGAACACCGCTGACAGGTCTAACAGCAACAGTACCACCGTGCCGCCCCGATCCAGGTGCCTCCGGAGGTCGTCTGTGAGGGCGACCAGTGCCGTCTCCGTCCCATGGCCCAGACGGGAGCCAGACTGGAAAGGGTCTAGCATGGAAGTGTCATCCATAAAGTTCTGTAACTGAATCGCCACCGCTCTCTCAAGTAATTTGCCCAAATAGGGCAAATTTGAGACCAGCCAATAGCTGGCCAATTCAGCCAGGTCCAGAGATGGTTTTTTCAAGAGAGGGCGGACCAACGTTTCCTTGAGTGCTCCCGGGAACAGTGAGGGACTTGTTGATAATATCCCTGAGGGCACCTCAAAACCCCTCATGGCCAGCTGTTATAAGCCATGAAGGGCACGGATCAAGGCTGCACATGGTTGGGCATACTGTTGAGAGCAGTCTGTCAACTTCCTCAAGGCTGAGTGGACTGAAGTAATCCAGAATGGAACCATAAGACGTGCATGGAGCCTCGAGTTTCCTCACTGTCTCAACTGTGGCGGGGAGGTTGCTGCGGAGCGACTTTATCTGCAAAATAGCTCACAAAAACCTCACAGCCGATATCCAATTCCCTAGCATTTGGTCTGCCCTGTGGCAGTTCTGTTAATGATCGAATAGTTCTCAACAATTGTGCCGCGTGTAAGCTAGCAGACGCAACCGTGGCCGCATAGAACTCTCTCTTAGCAGCTTTGACTGCCATCTCATAGGATCTCATAAATGTCCTATGAGATGCTCTTGTTGCTTCGTTGCAAGTGCGTCACCAATGTCTCTCTAGTTGTCTGAACCTTCGTTTCATCAGCCGCAGCTCCTGAGTAAACCAAAGAGCCCACTTAGTATGAGGGCGCAGAGGGCATCGGAGAGCGATCTTGTTGATGGCTGCCAATAGTCGGCCGTGCCAATCCTCGACTAGCTCATCCAGCGAGCCGCCAGGGGGCATAGGTTCCCGCAGAGCCATCTGAAGCCTCTGAGAGTCCATTTGGCTCCGTGGACGAGCTAAAATATGCTCGCCGCCCAAACAGGGTCGGGCGTTCACATGGGCCTTCAGAACGTTCACATGGGCCTTCAGAACATGGTGGTCCAACCATGGTACAGTTGTAGCCATAATTTGGTCCACTGTAACCCCCGCCACGAAGATCAGATCGAGCATGTTCCCTGCTCGGTGAGTGGGGGCCGTAACATATTGGGAGAGTCCCAGCGCCGCCATGGACGTCACCAGGTCCATTGCCTGCGTGGCGGTCGCGTCATCAGCATGGACATTGAAGTCACCCAGGACTAAGAGTCTAGGGTGCTCCAGTGCCCAGCCTGATATGACCTCCAGCAGGCATGGCAGGCTACTTGCCGGTGCATTTAAGAAGAATGAAATCCTACTGCTCCTGAAAGGCCTTCATGTGCCAAGCATGGATTTTGGCCTTATCTTGCTGTTGACTTTACAGTATTTTACTGATTGTTTTTAATTTATTTTTATTTTCATTTTCTCAAGCCTTAGGAAGGCAGGATATTAATATTTTAATTTGATTAAACACTAAATTAAATCAATGTGAACTGGCCCACAGAAAAGACTGTGACTGCACCCCAAGGGGTATCTAGGTGATTTCTAAAAGTTCACCTGACCTGTTTCAGATGCTGTAACTCCTCTTCTAATTCCTTGATTTTTTTACTCTGTTTTGCATAAGTATTTTCTCTTTCCTTCTCCTTTGCTCTCAGTTTCTTAATGATGTTGGAGTTCTGCAACTGCTGTTTTGAAAGCTTTTCTCCTAAAGAGAAGAATGGATCTGAGTAGCTGAAATCAATGCAGATTTATCATAGGCTTTACAATTGACAAACTACTTGGGATTTAAAAGTCTACTTGTTACCATGAAAATCAATAGACAATAGTGACTTAAATCCAGGTATTTCAGCTTCAATAGTATCTAGACTGGTGTATGAGTGATTGAGCAAGACTTACATGGCATTTACCTTCAAGGCATCTGTATATAAAAGATGTACAAGATACTGAAAAGTTTATCTTAGTTTATCTCTTCCTTCATAGAAATATTTCCAGTCTATCTAGATTACTAGAAATAGCAATACAATGCTGCTGAAATATCAGAATGCACTACAAAGGGTTCCAGGCGCTGCCCCCACATCTTCCATCTGTACTGCTGCTGCTATGGAAGTTCATGAAAGCCACTCCCCCCCCCCCCCCTTTTCCCCCCCTCTTTTCCACCACTGTCATTGAAAGATATTTAAATGAAAATAGTCAAGACTGGGGGTGGAGAACAAACCCAGCTCCAGAAGTTTCCACCCAGAATCACTTTTCATATGCTGATTCTTTGGACTGCTATGATTTCGCATTGAATTATCATGCATTTGTTGGTTTGATTGTTTATTTTTAAAGCTACATGGGGTTTTTTTATGGTCCATAAACCATTTATAACATTTTTCCCCCGGAGAAGTGACAGAGCAATGCCTTAAATTAATAACATCATTTGGGCATGGAGAGACTGGGCATGGGGTTTGGGCATGGAGAGACTGTCCCCCTCTCCTTAATGTTAGTGCTGTATTCAAAATGTATTTCCAACAGCATAAATGCAACGTAGGCAGACATTTAAAAAACTCTGTAGAACCAGTTTCCTTTAATCAGCTTTGGGGGTCAAATCCAATAAAGGCACTTGGCAACAATGAACTTTCCTACCCTCTCTCCCCATAGTCCCTGAGACCTCCAAAAAGCTGATGCTGGAGGACTTAGGACCCATGGGGCCAGGAGGCCACACAATCTAGCAGGGGTCAGTGAGGAAATTAAGCTGCACAAGATCACCCCCACCTTACTCACGCCAACAGTACCTCTTGTGCCACTGGAAGAACCAAATGGGAGCAATTCGCATTCAAATTTCCTCTCCGCACTTCAGCTCCTTGAGCTACATGCCTTTTTTGTCCACGTGGGCTCTGCAACCCCCAGCATCAGCTGTTCAGAAGTCTCAGGGGTTTACTAGAGGAAGGGGGGAGGCAAGAAAGATTCCCTTCTACTAATGCCCTTAGTCTCATTCTTTGTTGGATCCAACCCAATGAATGTTACCTCACACTCACCTTCTTCCATTAACCCTTTAATTTGTTCATCTCTCTCTTTTAGTAGTTCAGCAGTTTCATTACTGTTCAGTCTAGTTGCTAGCTCTTCTTTGAGAGTCTTTACTTCCTACAAAATGAAATTATTTATTGCAGAATTTTAATTTTTTGTCCAAGACTTTAAAAAACTTAACTTCAAACTATGTAAGTTTTCCCTTGTTAAAAAACAACTGTTATTCAATAGCCTGTAACAGGGGTCATTTCGTAGAAAAAGAGCTAGGGGGACTCATTAGCATAACTCATTAGCATATGCCACACCCCCTGACATCACTGGAAGTGTGTCCTCCCCACAGCCAGCGGCGACCTCCAGCGGGCACCAGCAGGGAGCTCCAGGCCCCACCCTCCCGCACCTCACCCGGGGGGATGGCGTCCCCCCGCGTCCCCCCCCCAATGACCCCTGGCCTGTAACTTGTATTTTCTAGGATGCTGAAAACACAAAGTGGCACAACACTGGATACATTTTTATTGATCTGGGGATGAAACAACATTGCAAATAATGTTTTTATACAGTAGGAAACCCTTCAAGTATTGCTTCCATGTTAAATCCAAGAAATCAGAAGTGTTAACATTCTTGGGGAAGGGGGTCACAATCAATAACTTTTGACTCTTTGAACCAATTAAACAATCAAATCCCACAATTCAATGTTCAAACTACCTTGGCCAAAAGACGGCTTTGGCTTTTTAAAACGTCAATCTACATCCAAATCCTTCTGCTCTGTAGTTAAGTACACTCTCTCCTTCCTCTTACTTATCCTCCCTTACCTCCAAAAAAGAGTATGAGTGCTTGCTAGTTGAAGTGAAAAATCATCCAAGATAGCCTTTCAGACTAGGCACAGCACACTGGCCCAATGCTGTACTGTTCCATTAATAATACATGATGGGGATATAACCATGCTGAGGCTCAGGTAACAAGCTTGTACCAGTCCAGTGAGATTTTTAAACTGTTCTTCACTATACAGCTGATTCCCATGCCATATCACAAACCACCTTCAAAACTTCCTTAGTTTTCAAAAGCAGTTTGCCATATGGCTTGAGGAAAGGAAGCTAAAGCTCCCTTAGACTAATGGAACTAGTTTTTTTCACTCCTGAAACGGCGTCAACTGTCATTTGTCTTTCATTCATGCAAGGAGAGATGCAGCAGAAATCTGCCTTTCCACTCAGCCACTGTGACTGCTGGCAACTTGAATCAGGGACTAATACAGCACAATTTTTCTGCTGTGACAAAGCCTGAGAATTCCTTCTCTAGAATACTGATTTTCCATAGACAATATCCAGCTATCTATAGCACAATGTTCATGTCTTCGTCTTTTTAAGGCACAACGGGGCTTTCTAACTTTACTGCAACAGACCATGGAATTGAAGACTTCTCATCACATATACTTAGAGGCGCTAGTACCCACTTCACCAGATGCATTCTTCAAGATGTATCTATGTCTGATATAAAGTGAATGATCTTTTACAACAGGTATTATATTAGTTTGCTAGTTACTGCTGATGATTGATTGCTATGCCTATTCTGCATATCTCTGACCTTTGGGAAGAAATGTTGTGGACATTTCTTAGCCCTTTTGTCCCACTTTTTACAATTTGCTTATATGTGTATTCCCAATTACATAACACTACATACATTTGACTAAGTAGGTTCCAGTCTGTGAAAAATCACGTCCAAATTAAGTTGTTAGTCTTTATGATGCCACAAAACATTTTCACACTAGGCTCAGGCTTCCTGCTTCTTCATGGTGACTCCTGTAAATTTTTCCTCTTCCAACGTTACATAAGTTCAAGAGATCCAAAATACCATTGTAACTACTGGAGAAATATAGTTCAGATATCAAAGAAATTACCTTTTTAGCTGTATCTCTCTCTTTGCATGCCAACTGGACCTTTTTCTCTGCATCCGCTATTCGCTGAGCAAACTCCTCTTTAAGAGATGAAATGCTACTGTTCTCTTCTCTCATTCTGAAGACTTCACTAAACACAAAAGATTCCTGTAATTATGAATATGCTTGGCATTTTAGACAGTAGGCGCTATGCTTATGAACCACACACAAGCCTTTCATTTTCTGAAGATAAAAGCAGTAGAGGAGCAAGGAGGGGCTAATTTGAGTGCTTCCCTCCTACAATCCTTTCTTTAAAGAACCTATGTTTTAGCCATATTTGCATAAAATAATGAACACCATTGGAATGTATTTATTTTCCTTTTTTTCTTTATCTGTCAGCTGTAGCAGAAGGTACTGAAATCATTGCTGAAGGCTGGCTGGCTTCATCCAGGCGGGAAGGCCCACCCAGCAGCCTCCAAAGCCAAGTCTTTCCCAGTATCACACTCTTCCCTCAATATCAGAGCAGAACCCTCACTAGGTTCTGTGAAAGCATCCCCTTTATTTGACAGAGCGTGGAAACAGAGTTGGCATATGATCAAAACAAATCTGGGAGAAAATTAATGGGGAAATGGAAAACTGTGACCCCAAAGGTTTGAGGTACTTCAGTTCTGCTCATAACAATTTGTAAAAGCCAAGCATAATCACTGCCAGATAATGCATAAATATTTACCTCAGCAATTAAGGCAGATCCCATTCAGTTCTGTACTACAGCACTAAAATACAGTCGCCCTTATCAACTTCTGTAATAAGCTGCTACAATCCATTAAGCCTAAATACACAAAAAACTACAATATACACAGAGCAACCAAATGCATGCATTATTCAAGAAAGAGCAAACAGGATTATGGTGTTTTTACATAACTGACAGAGCCTCAACATGAATGCTGTTGACACTTACTCTTTGAGGTTATCATAAGCTTCTTCGAGGCTTGCCTTCTCTTTACTGACATTTAATAGTCGATTCTCCCTTATCTCCAGCTTCTCTGTCAATGAATCAATAATCTGGAGAAGATTTCAGACAGGAGGTGAAAAGACTGGGAGAATGGTGGTAAGCTTTCTCTGAGCAGCAGTAACATAACATCCAGCATCTTACCTCACTGATGATTTTTTAATTTCCCCCAAAAGTGCTAAATTCATTGCATCCTCGTTTGTTCTGGTGTGGATCCAATGCAGCATTTCCACAGGTGCCTGCGGAGTGTGACTTCTACAACTTCGCTTTCCCAAAGCAGCCCAAAGCCCCCCCCCCCCCCAATTCCTGCTCATGGGGGAAGAGGGGACCATGAGCAGGATTGCAAGGGGCACCACAGAAGTTGCTGCACCTGTGGAAACTCTACGCTGCATCCAACACCAGTCTATAGTAAATATCTGGTATGCTCCAGTAAGTTCAGTAAGCACCATAATAAGTGGCCGCTTCCACTATAAATACCAAATTTATTTTTAACAGAATAGTTTTATAACACAAGATTACTGGGCTTTAGCAGACTTGGGCAAAATGGTAACACTTTATACATATTCTAATATAATAGATTGGAGTCATGACTGAGTGGGTGCATAAAGGTTAGAGCTACAGATACTATTCCACAGTACAATTGAGCAGCCTTCTTTTCTTACTGCCAACCTCAACAAATTGAAGGTATACAGAAAGAACACAGCTACGCAAATATGACAAATCAACAAGCCCCATGCAGAGCATGATTCAAAGACCTCAAAACATAAGCAGGCCTACAACTAGTCTGCCACTGCTGCACCTCTCCCCCCAAGCCCAAGCAGCCCATGAATGTCACAAGAGCAGCAGGAAATTATTCTGAAGATGGATTCTAGGGTTACCTTGCAAAGTTCTTCTTTTTCACACTCTACACTGGACAACGCTTCAGCACTGCGGTGAATTACCACTACCTCTTCTTTTGGGGTATGCTCTTCAACAGTCCGTATAGGAACAACCAAGACATCCGGCTGCTCAGAGTTAACAGGGGTGGCGCTTCGCCCACTTTCCTCCATTTCTGCTTCGTCTGCAGGCAGTGCAAGAGTCTCACTGAGAATCTGATCGGATTTGCTTTGAACAGGATCAACAACATCACTTTTTGGTGTTAGAGGGCCGATGGTGACAGAGGCTGAAATGCATCCCCGGCCTGATAACTCATCATCTGAGTTTATTTCACTTACGCTACGACTGTCTAGCGACTGCACACTAAATGAGTCAATCCTTTCAAAAGCGTCGGAGGAGCAGCAACTCTCCGTTAATTTCTGAAAGTCATCGAGACGATTATATTCTGTGCAAGCAGATGCTGATAGAAGCTGAAAGGACGTTTGCATCAGGTGAAGACTGGCTTTGGAATCAGCAGCCTCTTGCCTCGAGCTTACTGAGCTCTCACTTATTACACTTTCATGATCTAGAACTTCAATATCGCTAGTTGTGGATGTCCCTGAGGAGAAAGTGCTAACAGGTGGGGAAGGGGTATTGCTTTGCCGGTCCTCGCTTTTGCGTTCTTTAGTTTCCAAACCTACATTCTTTGTATCTGTGGGCAGAGACTGCGCAGGACTTTCAGGCACATGTACAGCTCCATCACTTCCTGAATCTGATTTTACAACATCAGTGGATTTTTCCACACTGACATTCTCAGCAGACACCTGTTGCTCAGTGTCTTCGGTTTTGTTTTCATCAAGCTTGTCTTCAGTATCAACTATTGAGCTATTTTCTTCTAACTGTTCATGGGAATCACTGAGATTTTCCAGTTCTACTAGTGCAATTACAGAAAAGTCTTTTGCTGCAGTTTCTACCAATGCTTCTGGCAGGTCACTATGCAGAGAGTCTTGTAGTGTGCTTTTCACTTCTTCCTTGGGCCGCTGTGATTTGGTGGGGGGCTTAGATACTACCGTGCTTTGCTGTATGCTCTGAACATCTGTAGGTGAGAGAAAGGCACTGAAGAAGTTTTCTGATTCATCTACTACAGTCCTCCTAACTGGTTTGGTGATTGCAGTAGGAGAGGGTATTGGCTGACTTTGAGTTTCTGTATCAGGATCTAACCCCCAGGCAGAAGTATCCCATCCTCCACTTGTAAGTGAATTTGTTCCTGAGAAAAGGAAGAGAGAAGGAACTTAATTTATTTATTTATTCATATAGTCGATTTCTTATACCGCCCTGACCCCGAAGGGTCTCTGGGCGGTTTACATAGAGGGTTCTAGGAACGCATTTATCCCTAACTAGGGCCACATGGTACAGGGAAGGGGCAGCCTACCGGCACCCAGGTGGTAATATATATCCAGAGTCATCATACAAATTTATGAACTCATCATGAGCTGATGGCTGCTTGTCTTTATAAAGAACAAACTCTGGGGAAAACCTCTTGGTCAATCATACAGCACAGCAGTCCATGCATTCATATGCTTGATACTCCAAGTCACCCCAGGTGTCATCCACTAATGCACCTGGGTGTCTTTTGCACCTGTTTTATATCAAAGAATCACAAGCAATTCAGTATCCTAACTATAAACATTTATGACTGCACCAGGCAATCAAATAGCATGGGTGTGTACCATCCGTCTCATGGCAACCAATGATCTATTCTGTAACTATCACCAGCCCCTGTTTCTGGTTGAAACTATTACTTGTGGGGTGAGGCAGAGCAGCTGTAGAACAAAGGAAAACAGAAAGGAACCCTGGGAAAGAAGCACCTTTAGTGCTGATTTTAAGTAATACCTACTGACAAAAGCCTGTGTGGCTGCAGGTAATTAAAGGGACTCTGAGCTGATGAGAAATGTTACCTAAAAACAAGCAGTATACAATAATATTTTATAATTTCAGAGAACAAATAAAGCACTCAAGAAGCATACAATGTACCCTATGAGGTTATATAAAGGAATATGCAGTTTTAAAACAATGAATATCACGGTCACACCAGCCAATCTGTAGGCACTTTCGCCCAGATTTGCCCATAGCACATTGTAGAGTAATAAGGGCAGCAACATACACTGCAGCACTTATCACCTATGACCTTTTTGCCCTTCTACCGCACTTTGGATGTGTACAGGCAACTATTTCTAAAGAGGGGATAAGGCGAACAACAAAGGAATTCACCTTCTTGCATTTTGCTCCCCAGTGCTCTTCTGGCTATCAAGAGAAATTCATCATATGATCATTCACTGACATTCCTTTTGCAGCAACTTTTAGGAACTCCCTTCTATCAAACTTAAGTGACAAAGAAAGATGTAACTTAGCATAATTCCACCTCCACAAGCTACTGTTCTGTATGCAAGTTTGCATACTTTTCTAAGTAACAGGTCTCCTTCCTTTCTCATGGATACCTACTTAGAGTTATGTGAGAACTTCACTGTGACATTTGGTGCCTAAACAAAGTCATCATACCATATGAATGCAGTGATATTATTTATTATTTATTTACTTTATTTACCGCTTACATAATTCTCCTCTCCTTCAGTTCTATCCTCACAATAACCCTGTGAGGTACATGAGTGTGTTATTAAATATGATTAACACATCAAATATGATATTTTAAACAAAGATTAAAAAGTATCAAAATAATTTTGTCTGATTACTTCATCCTTGCAATTTGCCACAAGCAACTGTCCTTGGGTGAAAAGGCAGGTAGCAAACTGCAGATGCTCACGATGCTGCCACTGCCACTATGGTAAGGAGCTACCAATATATCTAATTCTTACCTTGGCCCAAACTGTGGATTAGGGCCACGCAGAGAGAAACATCTATCTGCAAACCTGGGGGGACCTAAAAGGTTTTTGAAAGGGTTCTTAAAACAAATAATGAAGCGAATTAAAGGCAAGATCTTACAGTGTTCCATCAAGAGATCTCAGCGGCCATCTCAGGGGATGCCTAGCAACCCCCAAGGTGCAGTGGAAGAGGTGGCAGGGGAGACAGCCCGGAGTGAAAGACAGGGGTAGCAGGGAGGTCCTTCCTCCTCAGGCTCAGAGCCTGGCTCCACAGGCATGTCTCAAGCAAGACAAAAGCAGCATCAGCAGAGAGCTGCTGCAACCTGACAGATCTAGGCGCCACCAAGCTTTTAACTGTTCAAGGCTGCTCTGGGCGCAAGGTCCCATCTGGCCACCACCTACCATCTGGCCTCTCCACACACACAAGTAGGGGGGCAGGAAATGAACACTGCTGGCTTCTCCTCCCAGCTTGAATGAGGGCTCATGGAGGGGAATGTTGGAACCAGGCTGGGGGAGAGAACTGAAAGAATAAGGAGGTAAAGAGTGACTGCACACAGTAGCCACTACCTCCAAGAGGGAGGGAGTCTGTCAGGGAAAGCCGATGCTGGATGTCAGGGGTGACTGGCCTAGATTAGCAGCTAGGTAGCTAAGTGCTCCCTCCAAGATCAAACACCAATGGCACTCATGAATCAGCATCTGCTTTTTGCAGCAGGATTTTTTCCCTACTGGGGGCAGCCACAACAGAGCAGGTGGTATGGAGGAAGGCTGGAAGAAGGAGAGATGAGGAGGAGGATAGGAGTACAAAGGTAATGAAAGAGAAAGGATTTCCCTGCAGGTTTCTCACGGGTCCCAGGCTTGCATTTCTTGATCTAAGGAAACACAGCCCAACATTACTGACTGAGCTCTCAGAGAGACAGACAGACAGAGCAGGATGCCTTTTAAAGGCAGAAGACTTCTCCAGCTGAAGCAACATGAAGCAGACTAACAAGAGAAGAGAAACTGGCAGCTTCAATAGCACTGCATTTCCCCAACCAACTGCTCTGATAGCTGTATGCCCTCTTACACTCGTGTAATCCAGATCCAAACAGACTGTACATAGACAACTGCAGCTGCTATGCTGCAGTATTTCCTAGATACAGAAATGCAGCTTTCAGCAATGGCAGAGAAAGGAAGGAATACAGAGAGCAGCATTCAGATGGGGATGTGGAGGAAGCAGCTTTGTATTACCTCCTTTTAAAAAGTATGAAATTAAACACTCTAAAGAGAAAAAACTGTGTGGACAAAAATATTTCATTATCTACATCACATCGTACTGTTTAAAGCACTTTTATATTAACAGAAATAATGTGCATATCTTAAACAACTGCAGGCCCTTGAACTACACTTTAATCAACATCTTTGCCTTTTTAAAAAGCAGTTCATGCCTAGGCTCCTGACTTGTGTTCACACATCAAAAGCATGGCACAGCTCTGCAAATAACAGTAGCTCCATCTTATGAAATCTTTCTGCAAACAAAACAAGCAATTACTGTAATGGTGAAGCCACCTTCTGTTAGCTGCTTGAATGTTGTAATCAGTAAATAGCCACTGTTATACACTATAAACATGAACTCAATCTGGCTGTCATTTATTAAGGAATGATAAGCCTGAACATGTTTTACTACCCCCTTACTTTGCATAAATTAAAAGAAGCATCACATGATGTTTTTTGACACTTAAAAGTATGCTTAGTGGGACTTGATTAATATACAGGTATATAACACAGAATGCTGGCCTAGGAAAAAAGATAATAACTTTAAAAAACAGCTTTTTTATTATTAGGCAACCTGTGCCCATAGTTCAACTGTACTGGTGTAATATCCAGCACCCAGCAACACAGGAAAACTGATAAGAGTCCCTGACATTTCCACAGCCGCCCACCAAGCATGCCAGTTCTCAACAATGCCCAAATATCAGCCATGCCTAGAAGGCATTACTCAACACATGGCAGTGGCTAGAAGGCAATGCACACATAGTGGTGACATGACACCTCAACTCACAAGCAATCAGATCTTCAGGTGGGACAGGCCGGACTGAAATAATTACAGTTCATCTGTAAATGAGCAAATGGAGTGACCTCAAAGATAAAAAAAGGAGTGTTTCCTGAAGTATGGGTCAAAGTAGTATATACTGTGAAACCAGAAACTCTTATACCAGGTAAAAGGGTGTGGTGTGACAGGATAAAGAAAAGACGAATTCCTTCATCTGAGGTCAGACCTCAGAGATTCAGAGAAGGAGGGAAACAGCTGTATTTTTTCTTTACAAGATGGGAGGGAAGAGGGAGACCACATGGAAACTTAAAATCTGGAAACTTTATTATTTCACCGCTGTCATTTATTGATCTAGGGACTGGCCTCTGTGCAATATTTCTAAATGTTAGTTTACCTTTGTAATCAGTAAGGTTGGAATAACTGATCTTTTTAATTGTTCTCTTTGATTGATTTTGTGGACTTTGTCATAGCCCACCTGGAAGCCTACCTTAGTTTCTGCTACAAAAATTACTCTGTACATCTTTTTCTCCCTTATGGGTTACAGCAGTTACAAGTTCTGATCTCTGCCGGCATAGGGGAACATCTCAACAAGAATTAGTAACTTGGAGAACCAGGCCAGCTGGGTAAACTCCCCATTTCCCCAACAGAACAGCCGTGCCTGTGGAGCCTGTTTTAAAGAAGGCTTCAGAGAACCTCATACAACCACCTTCCCATACACGTTAAAAAGCGGCATGCATATACATACATATATGTTCCACGATGTACCGATATAGGATAATTATGGATGTAGATGTCAGAGCTTTAATAACACAACTGACCTAAAAAGAGGAGGAAGTTAAATGAGAAACCGGAGTTACTAATTTTCCCCAGTAGAAACAATCGCCTCAGCACCTCGACTGTGTGTGTGAGCGCCCAGAAAGTTGACTTCATCACTACCTTATGTATGCGTGTGTCTATTCCTCAGTCCCCTAACCATGTCTGAGCATCGCATCGTGGCTTTGGCGATACTCCTCCCGCCCCCGCCCCGCCCTCCAAGACCCACATACCAGCCTCGCCAGGTCTGGGCTGGGAGATTCGGCCAGAGGCTCCCTCGCCCTCCTCTTCCTCTTCGGCCTGGATGTCCAACACCCGGTCGATCGACTTCTGCGCTTGCGACAAAGCTTGCTTGGCAAAGCTCGAGAGCTGCGAGGCGTTGAACCAACTCATCGCCCCCGGTGGCGCGGCCACAAGCCAGGCGCGGGTGAGCGGGCGAGCACTCCCTCCGCTTCTTCAGCCCCGGAGACACCCGTCGCGGAAACGGCGACCTGCATCCCGCAGCGCCTCGACAGCCATGAGAGAACCGACGAACCCGGATAGAGCACTCAACCCCCTCAGCAGAGAACGGCTCAAACGCGCGTGCGCAAGGCTGCTTGCTTCCACGTAGCAAAACAAGCCAGCGCCGGCGCCCTCGCTTGCCGTGTACACTCACGTGACACCAAGCTCCGTTGCCATAGCTACCGGGAGCATTCCCCCCCCCTCCCCCCGTCTTGGCCGGGTTCGTCAACTGAGTGGCGGGTACTGGCGGCTGAACTACCCTGTTCCGTTTGGCCTGCTAGGCTTACGTCACTGAACGACGTCAAGGTGGGGATTCCTTTTCTTATATGGGGCCACTTTCGCCTGAGCTGCTTCAGTTTCCAAGAGTCTCCCGCCCTTCCTCTGCTTTTACGCAACTCGAAATAAGCTGTGAAAACTCATTTGCTTTGAAAGGTTGTATAAATGCAGTTAAATTCATCCGCTTTTTAAAAATTGGTTTTATGGTTCAGTTGTTTTATTGTAAGCTAACCTAGTGGTTTTAAATCAAAGTCAAAGCGACAGTCTTTCAAATAGAGTATATATCACTTGCCTAACTCTCCTCTTCCCTTGACCATTATTTAACTACACTTTTGCCTAGTCCCGTCTGTTTCAAGACCACAAACCCAAAGGTCCCATGAAAAGCTTCAGGGCAAGTATACTGCACCCTTAACATCCTACTGTCTCCTTCAAATGGGAAGGGGTGCGTGCGCAGTGGAAGAAAGATGAGCTAAAAGGTCTCCCAAATCTCCGATTAAAAGAATCAGGTTGTACGTCCAGCATTCCCAACTTTTAAGTTTTTGGGTACCTTTGGGGTTCTGATACAAGGTGGTGGCTGTAATCACACAATGGCCATTGCAGGAGATGGAGCCAAACACGAAATGTCAGGGAGTGAGGTTATGCGTAACGCTACATCTTCAACATTTCAGGCAGAAGCTGTTTAACAGGATGTCTTTTAAAATGAACACAGTTTTAAAATAGTTCCTTCCATACACACACAGCCTACTTTCAGTCACTCCGATAAGATCCTTGTGATGTTGGGGGCAGCTGCTCCCAAGCAACAGTTTTAAAAATCTGCTGTCAATCAGATCTCCAATGGCCACCAGAAGCCCTCCTTGGCAAAAGCCCTATATGGCTCTGGCCCACTCTTGCTGGACACCAGGAAAAGTGTCAGTGGGCACTATGTTGGGGGCACTGTTGTGTTGTCGTCACACAGTCGAGTCCAACTGTTCGCGACCCCATGGACCACATCATGCCAGGCCCTCCTGTCTTCCATTGTCCTCCCGAGTTTGCTTAATTTCATGTTCACTGCATCAATAACACTGTCTAACCATATCTTATTCTTTGCCATCCCCTTCTTCTTTTACCTTCAGTCTTTCCCAGCATCAGGGTCTTCTCCGGTGAGTGCTCCCTTCTCATTCTCACTGTTGCATGTGATATGTAAGATCGCAACCCCAACACCATGGAGAGCTGGACAGTACTGACCCTGAGGGACCAAAAGTCTGACTCCATATAAGGCAGCTTTCCAAGTGCGTGAAATAACTACTTCAAGTTTTAGTAATGACTGGAGAACTTCAGTTTTAACGGCTTAACGTCATAACTTCAAATAAATATTGCTTCCCAAAGCCATTTTTAAACGAGGGGGTGGGGGGGGGGGGATCATGATTACTGATGTGAAAGAACAAAACAGATAGTTCCAAAGTTTCTTGCCATATGCATCTGGTCTTGTTCAAGGGAAATCATTTATTTCCTATCACTTCTGCTGTTAGAATACCAAAGAGGAAGAGCCCAATAACATAAGGCCACATAGTGGAAGAAATTTATTCAGATCGTCTCTCTGACTCAAATTTTGCCCCCCTCAGTACTGTGTCAGAGAAACTGTCAGAAATTTACATTATCTGCCTTTCAGCCTAAATCTTCTCAGTATCATAAACCTTTTGGACTGCTGCATTCAATTAAAGTACTTCTTACAAGAAAATCCACACATCCATTCTTAAATGGTTCTGGAGGTCAAAGGAAAAGTAAGAGCTTGATTGGTTTTAAAGGGATTACATTTGACTTTTTTCCATTTCTGCAGTTATGCCCACATCTTAAAAAGGCATCACAGACATGCTGACAGGATAAGATATCTTTATATATAGTTTATTAATAAATATCCTAATAACAAAACACCAGTATCAGTGGGTAACACCATAACTACTAATAATTGCAAATATACAAATGAATTATTTAATTTTCATGTACAGATGTTAAAATACAATTTTCCTGCATTTTGAAAAAATACAGAAGTTTTGGCAACACTTAATACCTGACAAACAGCTCAAACATATTAAATAAATGACAGGATGTGTATCCTACTGTCTGGTAGTCTGAATACAAGAATTGCACTCAGACTCTAAAATGTAATTTAAAATCTTTGTTTACCTTGTTATCTTATACGTTCAGAGGGCTTTGGATAACTAATCCATCAGCCATCATAAAGTCTTAACATGCAAGAAGGATTGTTGGCATTTTAGTGTACATACAAGTTGAAAATATGGATTACTGCTGTACATTAATAAGCATCTGTACAAATACCATCAACCAAATATTGGTTTCCAAGTACAGTTCTAAAATAAGAGCAATTTATTCAGGGTAAAGGTCCAGAACTGTTTGTACTAACAGGGACTGATCTGGGTAATTTGTCTTCCCTCTAGTGCACAGTAGTTGTTTTACAAGGTGTGCAAGTCTGCTTCAGTGCGCATTGACATAACTTCTATTGATTATCAAGGAGTGAGGTGTAGTTTGAAGAGCAAAGTCTGTGGGGTAGTGACATCTGCAACCGCGAGTTCTTGACCATCAACCAGTCCCAGCTCTGTAATAAGAAAGAGTCTATAAGCACAGCATCTCAAAATCACTTCCATGCAACTATAGGAAACATGCAACTGACGTAACATAAACATCCGCAATACTCAAAAATCAGTGGGAAGTGACAGTTTAGTCTACCACGACATTCTACTGCAGACATAAAAGTCCACATTCGTCAACAAAAGAACTTCAAAGGGAGACTCCAACAGAAAATTGCTAAATCAGAATTCATCATGAGGTTTAACAGTATTAAGCCAGATATTCGACAGGATTCACAATTCCATCAGTATAGTACAGCTATAACTGTATCTAAGGAGTCTATGTTACCATTAATTACAGCTGATAGCGATGATCACTGTGCTTTTCTGTACACTTCTGAGCTCTGCACAGAAATGTCACAAACCAGGACTGTTCCTTTCCCCTTCTCTGTACCTAAAGATCTTGTTAAGAATCCATTTCACACATTCTGGTGAAGTGGACTCAAGCACACTGTAGGCATATGCTTTTATAGTTTCAGAGGTTAGTCCTGCTGGTCTGCACTAGAACAGCTATACTCAAGTTCAGTAGCACCTTAGAGACCAGCAAAATTTTCAGGATATAAGCTGAGAATCAAAGCTCCCTTTGTCACTTTGACTCTTAAAAGCTTATACCCTGAAAATCTTGTTGGTCTCTAAGGTGCTACTGGACGTGAACATAGCTTTCATAAATGTTGTCTTTTAGGTGCCATGAGACTCCTTTTTATTGTTGTTTATGCTCCAAGAGACTAGCAAGGCCACTCCACTGGAATCTGACTTTTAGCTCAAATCATTCACTCAGATTTTTTAGAAAATATCAAATTTAAGGCTGAGGGATGTGATGAATAAGCAGACGCTGACTGTATTTCGTTCTATAGCAATATAGCACATGGCATATTTCCACAGAGCATCATCATGTGACTTCGTAATACAGGACCCAAGTCCTCTAAAGCCAAGTTACTTAATTTCACATGGAAGCAACTCGGAAAACGGATAGATTTCCTTATGACTAATATATTTGTAAATTGTCCTGGTGTTCTAAACAGTATAGGAGGTTAGTGAATGATTTATTTAGCTGCATGTCTTAGTCCTCTTTATAATTTTTAACATTACCTTTTAAAGTTTTTGAAAGATTCTGCCTCGTTCGTTCTTCAATTGAAGTTACTGACTGGAAAAAAACCCCACATATGGTCAGACATAGATAAGATACAAGATATAATACAAAATAGTGAAACGTTAGTATGTACAAGTCACCTGTATGTAAAGAGTTTTATTCCTCCCATACACCGTGGCTGTTATTGCTGGAGATTTCATTTGTCTGCTCAGAAAAATCAGAAATTAGTAAAACAATATATCTAATCTCCTGTGACTAGTTATATCTTCAGGATCTAGGTTCACATATTTACAGACCAGATTCATTCTGTACTTACAATGATGCATTGTTTGTCAAATAATCCAAAACTTCCTGCAGTTTAGCTGATGGAGAAAATTCTATGTTCTGGGGAAGCTGGCTACAAGCCAGACAATTCTCCTATAAAACAGTAAATAAAATAATCAATGAGGCAAAAATAAGTCAATGAAAATTATTTACTCACAAATTAGTTAATCCAATTCAAAATATAGTTATTTATTTTTACTTATATGCTGCCTCTCCAGATACGTGCTTGAGACTAATAAAGCCATTAAAACCCAAGCATTAAAAACGAAGTCATTAAAGCCATTAGGGAATTACATGCAGATGTTAACATTTATCCAATTTCCCTGCAGTCAATGGACATTGAACTCTTACATTCAGCATGGGATAACTTGAATTAATTTTGATAAGTTGAATGATCAATTATGTTAGAGCAGTGGTAGACAACCTTTTTGGCTGAAGTGCCAAAAAAAGGCATAGTTTACCTGTGAAGATGTTCATGTGCTGGCAAAGAAAACAGGGTGAGTAGGGGGAAGAAATGAGGGTTGTGTTTGGTCAGATATATCTGGAGCAAGCCAAGCCCTAGTGATGCTGCTGGCATCTCAGGGATTCACCTCTGACTTGGCTGGTAATTTTGCCCGTCTAGATGATAATGGGCGTAAACCATACACGTTGCCCTCTCCCACACTTCTGACCCCAGCAGCACTGCCCAGTGCCTCAGCTGTTTGGGCAGAGATCTGGGTACCAAGTAAATGATCAGATGTGCTGTCGCTGGTATGCATGTTTGGGGTTGCCTACCCGTCTAGAGGGTTTATTAAAATAATAGAACCCTCACAATAACTGTATCCTACTTTTCTTCTCTGATGCAGTAAGAGGAAATATACTAAGTATACTTAAAGTCCAAAAGTGAAATCTACCATATAAGACCCAAAGGTAAGTTCAAACACTTATATAACCTAGAAAATAAGATCACGGATGACCTTTCTAAGGAGAGCATTCCACGGGCAAGGTACTTTTTAATCAAGAAAGCTCTGCTTCCAGAATCCCTCTTGGGCAGATGATCCATGGAGCAAGGCCTCTGAGAATGCATGTGGGGAACACACTCTCAAAACTGCATCACTAGCATCCGGAACTGAACATGAGAAAACAAAATACCAAAGTGCAGTTGGCAGAGAATAAGAGTTATGAGAGCTCAATGGCCAAAGTCCAAGAGGAAGTAGGTAGAAGCGTTTTGTTCTTACAGCAATTCTGAACAATCTTTGAGAGTATGAGAGTATCCTCACAAACCCAGCATCTGAGAGGGAGGTGATGGTTTGAGTTAAACTACCAACAATCAAACATCAATCATATACCATATCACTACAGGGGTCTGCCACCAGTGTTCCCTCTAAGCTGAGTTAATGTGAGCTAGCTCACAGTTTTTTAGCCTCCGGCTCACACATTTTTGTCTTAGCTCAGGAAGGATAGCTCCAGAGTAAACTAATTTATGCAGTAGGCAAATCGCTCGCTCACAACTTTAATGCCAGTAGCTCACAAAGTAGAATTTTTGCTCACAAGACTCCACAGCTTAGAGGAAGCATTGTCTGCCACCAGAGTTCTTTCCACATAAGCTATTGTACATGGTTTCCTGCAGTAACTAATGCACCAACCAGGCAAACAAGCAAGGTACAAAGATTGGTAAGGTTACTTCCTTATCTTAAGCACTTGGGAGTTGCAGCATACCGTCTTGGAGAGCTCTGTTTAGTCAACAGACAACGAAGACTGAACACTATCATACTTTGAGCTAAGAAAATGTTCTGCAACACTAACCTTCCTTTCAGCTTCAAATGTGTACGTGTAGAGTCCATCTACATCATTGAACACCAAGTAGTTGTTCAGAGGTACGTATGCACTGTAACAAAAAGTCTGTTAGCATTTATAAAGCAACACATTTGCTAAAGATATTTAATTAGTAAAAAATTACCTTGTGGCTATTTTAAAAACTTCTGTGGCACATATAGCTAGAGACACAGAGAAAAAAATTACGTGAAACTTCAGAAGTGGAAATTGAATATCAAGCATCATACTTTAAAAACAAAGTAAAAATAGCCAGCATGTATATTTCTGAAAGTCATGGGGTATGGTAAAATTTTTATATGTGAGAGAACTGGATTCACCTGAAACATTGTAAGGCAACTGACAGATGTGAGAATTACTCAGGTTTTGAAACTAAAGTGAATACAGCCACACTTTCACCCTAAGCTGCCTCAATTTGGTTGTTTACAAATTACATTAAATGCATCATCAAGACCTATCAGCTTCCAATGAACAGAAATGTAGAGATAACCATTTGAACAGATACATTTAAAAGCCTCATGTCATTTTCCCTACTGTATCTATATGCAAGTAGTTACTACATAGCTGAACAGCAGTTTTTCATTTGCCAGTCTCTAGCAGGTAGAGTTCTTCTTTTTTAGATCAGGGGTTGGATCCAGCCAGCTTTTTCAGCTGCTGAAAGAGGCATGACGGGGTCTCCCCTCTGACCACACAAAAATGCTATGCTGGGGAAAATGATACCTGCATTAACAGAAGTCATGTGGCAATGGGTCTGTGGTTAGGTGGAGAATTGGGCAGGGTCAAGAGAAAAACCTGGCAGGCTCCAACCCTAGGAGTTTCCTCCAACTTTAGCTATGGTTACATAAAAATTAATCCCACTAATTTCAGTGCAATGTATTTCCCGCAAGTCTGCTCAGAAGCGCTACCAATTTTCTTTACAAATTTAAGACTGTCCTGGGCATACTCAGCACACATATGTAAAAAACAGCACAGGAAGAACATTATTTTAGATTGCATTTCCTAGCACTACTATTATATGCACAATTAAGGAACATATACGCACAAGTATTTATTTTTGGCAGTACTATACCTGCAATGACAGCATTTGTAGAAGCTACTGCTGGAATGATGCGCTTTACAACTCCTGCATTGGAAAGTAAAGCAATTCTTAAGTAATTTCTACATACCAGTATTCAATAGTAAAGCATTCTGTATACTGAAATTTAATACAGATATGAACAAAAATAATTCCAAGGAAAACACCTTAACTTGGTAATAGTCACACACTCAATATCAATACACAAATGGAAAATAAAGCTATAAATTTATGTCCACTGTCCAATTTTATCAAAGATCACTAACCGAAAAGACAAGTAAGTTTCTTACCTTGTGTGAGTCTGTAGGTTAGACCTTTAATATTAAATTGTGCTGCTCTCTCTAAAGACCTCTCATAAATCCACTGTATATGCTCAGGATCATCTCCATCTAATGGAACACCTGCAAGAATATGTAAACTTTGTATTTGCTTAGTTTTGAAAATAGCTCTTCAGAACTGCAGTACAGCGTGGCACAAAATATAGATTTGTTTAAATATCATTTAAAAAAGCAACCAGCAGATAAATCTTACAGGGGTATAGTTATTAAAATAGCGATTTCTGCAAAAGAAAAAATACTGATTAAAGTATTAGGAAAGCAACAGGCACAGGTAGGAGGGGGGCTCTGCCATGACATTTTAATTACATGACATTATGTAGACCAAGAGGAATAAAGCAGGCCAGGATTTTTATTTTACTAGACTGCCAATTAAGAATAGGCCTACAGATAATTTATTGATTACCTCCAAAAGGTTGTTCCTTGGGCCACTGCAATATCCTGACATACTCAATACAATGTTCTGGTAGCCGAGGCATTGAAGCAATTGTACACATAGGAAAATTTACCTGGTGAGAACAGATTACAGAATGATTCAACATGAAGTTTTCAAGAAGGGGCCCAATTATGAGGCATCACATCTTTTTAACTACCTGAGGTGGATAAAGTTCAAGTGTGCATTCAATGCAAGCTGTCATGCCAGGAATAATCACGCGAGCATTTCCTTTAAAGCCTTCAGTTCCTCCATCAATCAAAGGTATGATGGAACCAGGATCCAACACTCCATCTTCATAGTTTAAAAGTGATATCTATAGTGGGGGGGGGGGGGGAGAGAGAATGTTTGGAAAATGTATTGCATGGAGTTTATTGTACTGAGGCCCTTCCTCCCCAAATTTCTAAACAGCACATTCTTTACTGTGTAATTCAACATGACAAGCTGAATTTGACACACCTGGAAAAAAGATGGCAACACTGACTGCACCTGAAGACAGCTTTATTTCACCTTTGCAAGATGTGGCAGCACCCCTTATGAAAGCATCTTAACTTTCAAAATTAACACAAAAAAAGCTTCTGTGCAACTTAGTTGTGTTCAGGTTGCAGTGGGTTAAACATACACACAGACCTCTTTCCAACAGTTTTAGTCCATTTCAAATGAGTGAATGTGAATCTCATTTGTGCTAAAAGGTGCCGATTTAATCACAAAGCCTGACCAATCAATGAATACACTTCCAGCCTCCTGTTTACTTTTTTGTCAATACAGCGTGTGCACACACATAACCCAAGAACACATACTTTGGCCAACTTTTGAATGATTAAGGGTTTACCAGCATGCCATTTATCCATCTTCTTGCAACTATGGAATCCAGACCACACACAATTATATGGAATTCTGGAAGAGAACATAGTAATATGTAATTCTCAACATGGCCCCATCTGCAGATACTTAAATCTACAGATCAGGGACATTTACACAGACAGGAGATGTTTCTACAGACTTGAGGGAAACCTCAGGCTTACGGAAAAATCCAAAAATGTAAGCAAACGGATTTTTTAAAAGCACTAATCAGAGAAGAAATTAGCACAGAGGCAACACAGTCACTGTCACTAAAGCAGCTAGTTGGCAACTGAGAAAGGGAGGAGCCAACCAACACAACAATTAAGAGAGTAGGCTATGTGAGGAAGACTGCAGCCACTGTAGAGGGACTGGGGAAGGGATGGGCAGGCAGTGGAGTGGGAGGGAGGCAGTGTTGGATCCACAGGCAATGGGAAAGAGAGAAAGCAAGGAAGGAAAGGTGGAAAAGTAATGTACGGCAGCGGGGAAGCAAGAGGGGAAAGATAGCAGGGTGGCAGCAGGGGGAAGTGGGAACTAGGAAGGGAAAAGGTGCAGCCTGGCCATGAGTGCAAGCCAGGCAGGTGAAGGCACTGCAGCAGAGTGGGTGGCTCAGCTGGCCAACAAGCAAGAGAGCAAGCGGGCAAGTGAGAAGGGTGAAAGACAACACAACTGAGTAAGTTGAAGAGGAGGTGATGGCAGGAGGAAAAACAAGTAAAGAGGTTGGAAAAGGATGGAAAGGGGGTTGGGGCAGGGGAAGCAAGAGAAGCAGGGCAAAATTTGGGGTTGACTATTTTTAGTTTTCAGTGAAAATGTTTTTAACTTTTACTGTAAACTGCCTTGAACCACAGGTAAAGGTGGGATCTGAATGTTTTTTAAAAAATTAAAAGGGAAAGAAAGAGAAAGAGGGGGCTGCTGGGGGGGGGGAAATCAAGATAAAAAGTATGGTATGGGATTCCTCCCTCTAAGTCTCATGGGTCCCCCCACTTTGAGACACATAATGCATTATATCATGAGACACAGAAGGCATTATATCATGACAGTCCTGAGCATATGTCTTCCTCTATTACAACCAGCATAGTTTTTATACAAGAAATATAATTTACGAGTTCAGACTGCAGCTTACAACATTTTATCTTTTCTTTAAAGGACACTCCTCTCAACTGATGTAAAGCAAAAATATCACTTTCATGATAGCCACTTACGTCGATAGAACGTGTCATCCAGGTCCTGAATCTTTTTATAATGTCTATAAATATATGCAGTAAAGGTCATAACAGAAATAAGTCTAATTTCGGCTGCTTGCCAGAGTTCAAAATTATAAATCCAGCAAGTCATCAAATGCTCAAGACAAAATGCTTTAACTAGCTAACTCCCTTAAAATTCTTCCTACAGAACAGCTTCAAGATACCCATTACCCCAAAGTCACTACTTTCATGAGTAAAAGTGTTAACTTTTTTTGCTCCCATCCTTCAAACAACGGAGATTTTCTATGGAACCAAGTTGTAATAACAGCATTTAAATCTTGGTAGACACAACTTAAAGATAGCCAGAAGGAACCTGTCCTTTGAGAATCCAATGACCTCACTCAGTACTTAAAAATAAGCATACCTGCTGATTATCTTTCTCATTAGTTGAGTACACAGAAGAGAGTGGTGATGAAGACTGAGACTGACAAAGAGAGAGATCTTGGAGTCATTGTAGATAACTCACTGAAAATGTCGAGACAGTGTGTGACTGCAAATTAAAAGGGCCAATGCTATGCTGGGGATTATTAGGAAGGGTATTGAAAACAGATCTGCCAATATCATAATGCCCCTGTATAAATCAATGATGCGACCTCATTTGGAGTACTGTGTACAGTTCTGGTCACCACACCTTAAAAAGGATATTATAGCTTTGGGAAAAGTGCAGAAAAGGGCAACTAGAATGATAAAAGAGTTGGAACACTTTCCCTATGAGGAAAGGTTAAAGCGCTTAGGGCTCTTTAGCTTGGAGAAACGACGGCTGAGGAGTGACATGATTGAGGTTTATAAGATTATGCATGGAATAGAGCAGGTAAAGAGGTACTTTTCTCCCTTTCTCACAACACAAGAACTCATGGGCACTCCATGAAATTGCTGAGCGGTCGAGTTAGAACAGATAAAAGGAAGTACTTCTTCACCCAAAGAGTGATTAACACATGGAATTAACTGACACAGGAGGTGGTGGTGGCTACAAGCATGGACAGCTTCAAGAGGGAATTAGATAAGCATATGAAGCAGAGGTCCACAAGGTATTGATAGGGACTCCGGGGCAAGTGATGCTGTATATTCTTGGTGCTTGGGGGGTCAATAGTGGGAGGGCTCCTAGTGTCCTGGCCACGCTGCTGGACCTCCTGATGGCACCTGGTATTTTTGGCCACTGTGTGACAGAGTGTTGGACTGGATGGGCCATTGGCCTGATCCAACATGGCTTCTCTTATGTTCTTAAGCCAGTTAACATACAAAGGGAAGTTGCTGTAAAACTGAATGAACATTCTGGAGTGGGAAATCTGATCCTAACGAATATGCAGAAAGGTACATCTGTAATAGGGCAACTACCTGTCTGAGCAAAGCTTGCTGACGTTATGCATTGCTTAGGTTAGCCAATAGGTAGTGTAGGGGAGGTACACATAGTTATGGGTGCACAAAAGCACCATCAGCAATGATAGGAAGTATAGCTGTACAGTGCGGGGGTGGGGGGAGATCAGGTTGCCATGCAGGTGGTTGAAGTCTAGACCTCTAAGGTACAATTTACAGAAATGATGCTTGTTCTACATGCAGGACCAGCACGAGGCAGGTAGAGGTGTGGGATGAGACGGTGGTACTGGCAGGTAGGGTTTAATTTGTGAGGCACTGGGGGATATCTGGGGCCATGCCAAGCCTGTACTAATGAGAGAGGCTCCATCCACTTGAACTTAAATGGAACCAGGCTGTTGCCACTTAATATTAAGAAGATAAAGGATCTGCTTTTAAACTAAATTCTAAGGGGAAGCAGACAGGACATCTCAGCTCTTGGGGATGACGGGTTAAATGGTCTGATTAATTTTAAGGTTGCCAACCTCCTGCTATTACAACTGATCTCCAGACAATAGAGATCAGTTCCCCTGAAGAAAATGGCTCCTTTAGAAGGTGGACTCTATGGTGTCATACCCGGCTGAGATCCCCCCTCCTCCCCAGGCTCTGTTCCCAAAATCTCCAGGTATTTCCCAGTCCAGAGCTGGCAGCCCTAGAGTAATTTAGATGAGGATGTGCTAGAACTTGACAATGACAATGTAACCAGAAATGGCAACCGTTTAAGGTGACCACAGGGCCAGAGTGTGGAAATGTGCATCACAGGAGTACTTGCAGCAGAATGCACAGGCAAGAAGTCTCCACGCTAAGACAGGAGAGCTGGAGTCCTTGCTGTTAAAAGAGAACATGGATACGGTGGCACAGAGGGAGGGGGAAATCAGCTATATAGCAACATTTCTCAAATGGGATATGTGAGTCCTCTGTAAGGATCAAGGACACGCCACTCTCATGTGAATGCAGCCGGCTCAGTTCTCTGGAATGGGCCCAGGGACATAACCAATTTATCCCACTTTCGAACAGCAGGAGACCTTCCACTGCACAAACCCTAGTTTCCACATCATGTCAGAGCACTACCCAGGAAACATGTTGGTGAGATTCTGGGAACCAGCAGCTCAACCCTATGAATTCTAATTGGTTGTGGCATCAAGGAGGCCTAATACAGTCATCATAGTTACATAAGGTTACTAGAAGGTACCTTTCACTCTGTTTTCACATAGACAGAGACATCACTTTGCATTCACAGACAATAATTACCAATGGCCATTTTGAAATAAATACTAGAAATTCAGCTTTTCTACTTCGATGCTACTCTGAAATTTTTTCCAGGCCTCTTGATCCCATTTAAGCTAAATAGGGGGAAGGGAAGGGACGTAGCTCAGTAGTACAGCATCTGCTGGATGTGCAGAATATCCTAGGTTCAATCCCCAGCATGTCCCGCTGAAAGGATAAATATTATGAACCAACAAGAAGTGCCTTGCTGTCTCTGATGCAAAACCTCTCCCAATCAAGAGGTGAGATTAATTAGAACTTGCCACGAAAAATATGATTACATAAATTCCACTTTGGGTTTGTTCAGGGTTTTGTTACTTTTTCTATTCGAGAAGTCAGGCTGTGTCGTTTTTCATCTGATATTTCAAACAAAGCTGACACATGGGGAAGGGGCTGATGCCAAAGGTGGGCTAGTTCTGCAAACATTAGGTTTTTATTCCTCCAAAGGAGCCTAGCACTCTAATTTATTCTAGATTAGCCCATGCAAGTGCAGTGAGACACAAAAAGTAAAGTAACCAATTGAGAGAGTGGAGAGGGGGGGAATCAAGGTGTTACTTTTTCATAAAAGGATACGGTACAACAGCACAATTGGGAATTCGACTATTTAGAAATTCAGCAGCAACTTCCGCTTTAGGCCGCCCAACATCTTTAGGTCTGCAAAAAACGAAGCTTATTAGAAATGCAGATCAGTCTCTTGCATGAAATACACAAAACCATACATGTTACAAACTCTTTTGAAACCACCACTAATGTAATGTAATCTAATGTAAACAATTGCGCTGCTGGAAATCACTGCTTCTACTAGAGATGATACAGAAACATTTACTTCCCTAATTTTTGCTTCAGTAAGCTGTGAACTCTTCACATACAATAAAGTTTCTGAGCCCCCTGCTTTCAAAAGCAACCTCAGATACAAGCACTGAAGTGCAGGGGAACTTTAGAAATGGCTTCTGGTACAGGACAAGTAACTGCCACCAGTATCAATCCCTGAAAATTACTGAGGCACAGAGAGAAAGTTTGGTATGCCATCACCAAAGAAACAGCGCTGTGGATCACAGTCTGTTTGAGAAATGCCATATAATCAGGATTTACCATACCTTTCCACACAACAATCTGAGATGCACTGCATTTAGACAGATGGAGACTAGGACTTTTTCACATGCCATGACTAACCTGTTTGTGTGTGACAGCCATGAATTGTTCTCATGGAAAAGTACTTCTCTTGCTTTTGTTAAGCACGATACAACTGAAGGTTCCTTGCTTTGGGAAGCCTTGACTCAAAGTCTAATTTGCCATGAAGTACAAATGCAGGCACCTAGGGCAACTGGAGCTTGACTCAAGTAAGAGTAACGGGAGCATGTGGTCTCAAGAACAAGCTGCAATGTTGCCCATCAGAGGCAAACAGACATCTATCATGCCTTCTGAACAGGACCTAACGCTAACACACAGGACGCCACAGGGTTACCTGAGCCATTTCCCCTACTAATAAACTTGCAGTGCTTTTCCACCCAGGGAAAAGTGTCCTCTAATAGCGAGGCAGGAGGAAGGGGTGGGAGACCAGGTAAGCAGCAACAGGAGCAAGCACTAAGGTGTACAGGTAGATTTCAATAAAGCATTTGTAATTAGTGAAGTCAAAGTAAGTTGCTAATTTAGTATTCAGATGTTATTCATTAATGTTCTACAGAGGATGCAACCCACAGAGTTCTGTTTTAAGTCTTAGTGAAATTAACAGAGGCAGCTTGAAGCCGAGAGCAGCCATCTGTAGTCTGTCCCCAAATGTGTTAAAGTGTACCACTTACCGAAACAAGAATTGTCTATTCAAATTAGATACGTCAATAGTATCCATATCAATTACATGGATCTGTCTAAAACCAGTCAATGCCTGAAAAAAAAAAAAGAACGGAGACAGTGATGTTACAAAACAAAGCAAAACATCTGTATAACCAGATTTTACTGCTTCTGAAAAATTCCAGTAAGTGCAGTAATTTGTAAAGGTATTATTAAAAATTCCTGCAGTTATAGATTAACAGGAAAAAAAATTCGTACCTGACCTGATTGTTGCGAAAGAAAAAAACAATACGGCAGCAGATCACTGCAGGTTTCTTTCATACTATTAGTGCTTCTCACTCATTTATGGGACGTGCTTTCCAGAAAAATAACTTGACAGCTAGATAAGGCACCATGTGCCATAACTTCCCTTGTCACACTTGGGACAGAGTGGGGGAAACACACCCAATTTTGTACCAAAATTCTCTGGATGCACTTTGTGCTTTTCAGGAATTTGTATTAAAATATTTTTAGCATCACAGTACTTTACTATAATGGATAATACACATAACCCCAACTCAAGTTATAAATTGTGTTTAAATGACACAACAACTTGGTTAATAAAACTGATACTTCAACATATCTCTGCAGCCCACACCACAGAGACACAAGCTTCGATCCTATTCAATGTCAGGACAGTATGCAGAAGTGAACTATTGACCACCCTCCTCAGCACTGTGGTTTGCTGTGACACCTGATATCCTGCAGCCAGTGGTCAAGAGAGCACTGGAAAAGTGCAAGGAGCACTTTTCCTAAAACAGGAATGGGCAAAACTGCTCCTCAGCCCCTTCTTCCACCATCAGAAAACATAGTTAAGATCCAGGCTATATTGTTTAAAAGGCATTTAAATGTGTTGCCAGCTTCAGAATTTAACATGGAAAGTGGATGACGCTTTTTTTTTTTTTTTTTAAAGCTTCTTGTCTCCAGCAGGTCAATACCAGCCACTCCCTGTGCCTACCAAAATCAACTCAGCATCCTACACAAAATTGTGACAAAGATACCTAAAGATGCCTGAGTGATAGTGGTTTATGCCCCCTCCTCCTTTTTCTTTTTCTTTCTTTTTCTCCCCCCCCCCCTCCTTTTTCTAACATCCTGGCTGATAAAGGGTTCTGGAGATCTCTGAAAATCACATAGCATACTGCATTATTTTGGTTGGTCTTTATAAAAGATATTGCATGGCTTTTGATTCCTGTCCTAAACACAGTTTATCAGAAGCCGAATTGATTTCAACATAACTTATATCCATGTAAATGGGCTTCGGACCAGTCTTTCTGGTTTTACACATGCTATCAATACATCTAAACACAACTAATTCTGCTCACTGACTCAGAATGTAATCTATATGGATGGCTCTGGGACCACTGTAGTGACTAGCTCTCTACTACTAGTGTGGACATGCACTGTAGGAAGGGTGGGTGGGCTACAGACAGAAGATGAACATGCAGTACTTCATACCAAATCCTTTCCACACTAACTGGTGTTAATAATTTTTAAACAGATGACTGAAAGTTCATCAGTGCCCAAGTATCCTGTTTGTAAAGCAAAAATAACTGGGGATCTTACAAAGCTTCCTCCATGTGAATTTCCTTCTGGAACTGGGGTTCAAATTACCTAACCAGGCTTACAGAACTGCACTGATGCATTAGCAAGCCACTATTCTTTGGTTTTTTCTTTTTCAGACCTTATCCAGACAGCTGCACTTGTACCAGTTTCAGTTTGTGCTCCTTTTTTCCCTCTCCTTACAGGTCACCAATGTCCATGAACCAGCCAGAGTGTAAAAAACCATCATGTGATCCAGTGACTATATCAAGTATCATTTTCCTGAAGTGCTTAATGTTCATAAATGCGTGTGCACATCAATAACCAGTAAGGCACACACATACCCTCCCCCAAGCAATTTCAAACTACAACCTACTGTGCATGTGCTAATTGGGAAATTTTAGAAACTCTCCAACTTGTACTGGAAGGCAGGTGATGTGTAACTCATAAAACAAAAAGCCAAAACAATGGGCATCCATTAATTCCTAATACCAATGTAAAATGATATGAAACACATACTTTTTTCCTTGACAAGAGTTTAGCAACACAGACCAGAGGTAGAAAGACTACATGAGCCAATTATGTGCTTTAGGACTCATAAAGGAAATAAAGAGCCAACAAGCAAGTTATGGCTATTCATTGGCCCTCAGAAAAGTTGGTTAACAAGCTGAGGAACACAGCCCACTAAAGTGAGAGCAAGAGGAGCTGGCCAAAACAGCAACCAATGTACAAAGATGTAATGTAAGAAACCATACACCTCTCAGAAATCAGTGGTTTACCTTAAAGATGTTTCACATACAGCCTGGGAAGTACAGGGGAAGTCTACTAGCTATCAAAAGCCTATCAATATTGTTATACGTCTTTTTGCTTTTACATTAGGCAGGAAACACACATTCAGTTTATTAGTCTCGACACTCCATGTTCTGTGCATTTTGAAACCAACACTTAAGAACTCCCCACTCCACACAGTTTATAAGTTTGCCCTTGATATCCTCAGATGTGGACTTGGAATGCACAAGAATAAACTACAAATCTAGTACCTACCTCAGTGGGACAAGCCAAATCAAAGGTTTTTGTCATTATTACCTTGCAGTTCATGAGTATGAATTAACTTTTGACAGGGTTCCCTTAGTTTCAAAATAACAGAATATCTGCTGCTGTGTGACGTGCGCAAATATCTGCAAGCATATCAAAACTACAGTGGCAGGAAACCTCAGTATTAATTAATTTGTAAAAGTCAGTAATGTACTGTATGTACAGGAATTGTATCTGATTATATTTTTGATGATTACAGAAACGAACAGGTCTTAGGTTCTGTGTTAAGCATGTATTTTATTCTATACAATTTTGAATGTGTTTTCATTTGCACATGGGATTTAAAATATCTCAGTCAAGTCACTCTCATGGCTCAGTATCCAGTGCACAAACACATGCAAAGCAAACATTTTCGCAGTAAACTATCAAGAAATAAAAATGAAAATGTTACCAGATTTTTCAGAAGTTCACATCCTAATCCTCCTGCTCCAATAACTAGAACTTTACACGTGTTTAACAGAAAGTCAAGGGGCTGTAAAGAACCAAGATAAACAGTTTGTTGGAAAAAACAAAAAAACAATAGACTTCTCTGTAGATTCACACAACTTCTTATTGTATAGGGCTATAATATTTAAATACTGTGAAAAGCAACAGAATCCACTGTTAACATTATGGCTGTGCCGTATAAAATTTGATTAGCAGAGATAATCCTTCAATGACAAGCAGTAATTTGAATTTTGCTTATACACAAAATAGATAGCTCTTTAATTAAAGAAAAAATGGATTAAACCATGATCTCTACAGGCAGGCAGTTGTTGAATCTATGTGTTTTATGAGAGACATTTTTGGCCATTTTGTTTCTTCTCTATGCAGTCTTAAAAGGTTTAATCCCCGAATCTAGTACATTATGCAATCATAATCTGGATAAAAAGCTAATGCTGCCCACAGCTAACCTCCAGCATCTACAGAAATATCTAGCCATTGTAGGCACTGCTGGCTCTTGAAGTAAAATTTAGCAATATCCCCAGGTTCACTTTAAGAAATATTAAAACGGTCAGATGTTGTGACAAACCCAAGCAGAGGGGCATAGAAGGAACTGGCAACCAAGGAAGGGGGGCAAGAAGTGAGCACAGTATTCCAGGGATGTGGGCTTCCTATCCCTTTACTTCAGGCAGCGTTACGTCTGAATCAGGCCTCCGCTGTATACTCGATTCATCCTGTGTATCTCAAAACAGCAATTCACCACTATCTTAATCTGTTTACATTAAATAATTTTCTTTATCTAGAGAATCATAGCTTTTTTCTTGGAAACATGAAACAGTAGTTTGTCCAAAGTATAACCTAATCAGGACTCTGTGTTCAGTCACTGCATCCCTGACAGACTTTTAGCAGTTATACAGGAATTCACACAGAGGGATATGTCATTGTGCAAGGCTACTTAAAGGTTACACAGAAAACTAGTTGCTTAACTGGGTCCCAGTTGGCTGAGTGAAAAAGCAAGCTTATGATGTTTTGAATAAACAAACTCAAGAAACTGTGCCCCTGCAGTCTTGATAATCTTATGAAGGGTGAACAAGCAAAAGGGTTTACAACAGTTTACAAGACAATACCATAAACATTTGTATTTAAAATAACTATTTCTCACTTGAATGCCTGGCTCGAAATCAGGGTGTGTGAATGGTCCAGATCGCTCGAGGAACTTCTTTACATGGTTCCAGCGACCTTCCCAGTCTCCATTGTCCCCACACCCACCATCAACAGCCATTCTGCACAGAACATAGAAATTCAGCTGCAAAAACCAGTAGGAAAAAACAGAGCACATGCACACAAAGCAGTTTCTCTGCACGCCTAGACCTTCCGGTTAAAAACCACTTGTCACACAGATCAAGATTTATTCTACTTGGGGGGGGGGGGGTGAATTTCCTGTATTATGAAGGGGGTTGGACTAGATGACCCTGGAGACCCCTTCCAACTCTATGATTCTACTCATGACAAATTAAGTAGGTGAAAGATTTGGGATCATATTAAGCCTCTCAGAAGTTAATGCAGATATGTATGTACCACAACAAAAGACAAATGTTCTCTCAATTAGAATTAACTTAGAGGTAAGTTAGGAAAAAATGACCTGGAATGGAAAATATATCTCCAGTAGCTTCCCACTGATATATGAACACAACCTGAAGTTTCAGCTTTACTGACCTCAGACAAATTCATTAACACTTTAAAAACAAACTAGAGGTCAATATTTTTTCAAGCACACTTATTTCTAAAAACATTCAGTAGAGGTTGAAGGGAAAAAGCAAAATGAGTATTTCACTAACTTGGTAGTTTGAGGTGTTGTCTGTACATACAAGGCTGTATATAGGAGCCTCTTTCTGACAAAAGAGGAAGCTAAACCACTGGCAGCTACACAGTGTGTTGGTAGCAGTACAAAATGTACTTTCCTTGACAGTTCATTCAGGGAGGTCTTTAGCTTTTTTCAGGCAATTCTTACCATTGGATACAGCACAAAATTTATAATATGCTTTAAAAAAGAATGTTGTGTACCCAACAGTTCGCTCTCTGAATGCTGATACCTTATCATTAACTATACACTAAAATATTTAGCAATTGTGAGTTACATATGGAAAAAAACCAACATAATTCATCCAAGGTTTTCTATCTGATGCACAAGCTTCAAGGTTTTCAGAACAATACAGTTACTGATCCTCCTAACAGAGCCAGTTTTAAACAATTATACATTTAGGTTGCAAAACAGAAATAGGGTTATAATAATTTATTTCAATGCTTCTCATAAAGGAACCAGAACTGGCATCTGTAGGAACGACTGGAGTAGTTTTAATGACATTTTACAATGCTGTTTGTGTCAGGATTTTAAACAAGTGGTCCCAAAAAGTGTTTTGTTCTCCAGTGAGATTTACCACTTGATCCTATGTATGTTTAATTGAAACTAAACCCCATGACATATAATGGGCCATATCCCCCAAATAAGCATGTACAGAAATATACTATGTTTTAATCATTTCCTCTATATTTATTATTTATTTATTTAATTTGTATCCTGCTCAGGGCGGCTTACATAAAATATATCAGAGAACCAAAACACAGGATTAAATAAAACCACAACAGTATAATTATAAAACACAGTGTAAAGTGCTAGTGCTGTTCATGAACTGAAGGCAGGCATTAGCAGCATCTAACATTAACATATTAATGATGATGTTAATATTGGGGCCAGGGCCTCAATTTATTAGGGCAGCTCCCTGGTTGAAGGCCTGGCGGAAGAGCTCTGTCTTGCAGGCCTTGCAGAACTGTATATCACTAACTAATCTTTCTTTAATACTTAAGGAGTTAACTCTGTCCATTTCATCCTTGCTTTACATCCTATGTACAATCCTCCATTATTATGCATTTAATCATTACTATCTCATTACATTATCACCTATAACTCCCATACCTGAGCTGCCTGTGATCCTTAACTCTTAAATCTCTAATCCTGTAAAAAAGTGCCAATGCTTTATGAGCCATTAAACTTAAATACACACAATCCAAGTTCCATACAGCAGGGTAGAAAGATTTTGTGGAAGCACTTTTAAAGCTATTTAAGGAACGTCTGTTGCCTCTGGCAAGAAGCAGGATCAAAAACAAATGTAAGGGGGGGCAAGATTCTAGCACATTCATGGGGAGACAAGAAGGCAGGTACAGCAGTTTCACACCTTTAAATAAAGTGATATCAGTTCTTTGGAAACTAGTGACTTTTTTCAAGAGTCAAAATAGCTATTGACACCTTATGTCGCGCTTCCTATCCACCTGCAATAGTTTTCCTACAACCACCATTGGAAAAAGGCAAAAGGGGGGGGGGGGGTTTGACTGAGAGGACCCTATACATAATCCCTCCCCCTCCCACATACATTTTATCAATTATTCCCTTTCTTCCACCCAGCAATCATTCAGTATCTAGAATGGGAAATCTGTATCCTTCACACCATTTCTAACAAGGATACCAGTTCAAATTGCAATAGAGGCAGGGGCAAGATTACACTGTAAAGTAATTGATTTTAACAGCACTCTAGCAATAGCAATGGTGCATCACTGATCAAATGCACATAGACTAGTATTAAGCAAAGGGTCTGTGCATTTGGCATGCACACCTGGCACACAGGCTTATTGACTTATAACAATATACTCAAGCCTACTGCTCTCTGCTGGTCTGCAGCAGAAAATCTTTGTCTAAGTTGCTCAACTTTAAAGAGCAGATGACCATCTCTGCACAACACACAAAAACCATGTACATATTCACGGACAAATTTCTAGCCCTAGCTTTCTACCTGCAGGAGTATTATCATGGACAAGCAATAATGCAAATAGTCAGGGTTAAGGCACATGATACAGCAACGATATTAACCTTAATCCCATACTGGGCTAGTCAGTGTCTGGGTGGAAAAAAGACAGGTGCGATTAAAATGCAATACACCAATATTTTCTCTAAATAAATACAACCAAAGGTTAAACCGATGAAATGGGAGCAGACATCTGGCGTTTGAAGTGGTACAGCCACAGACACAGGCTTTGCCGCCTCAGAAAGAACTAGTTGCGGTGCAGTGGTCGGGAGTGCCGGAGTAGGACCAAACCCCCACTTGGCCAATCTCTCTCTTTCTCTCTGTCAATCTAACCTACTTTACAGGGTTGTCAGGAGGGCAACACGGAAGGAGCTGCCCCGAGCTCCCTGGACGAAGGCAGAGATAAACTAAAGTGACGGAGGGGGTCGGCAGTCCTGAGGGGGGAAACTGTGCCTGAAGCACGGTGGGGCTGGAAGGACACCGCACCTCCCGGGCTCCCTAGCCTCTGTTACCGCTCCCTTGGCCTTCCCCCTGCTCTCCTCGCCCTTCTTTCTTCCTCGCCGTTCCCAGCCCTCTTTCCCCTCCCTCGCCACCTTCCCCCCCTCCGCACTGACCCCATCTCTCTCTGCCTCTCTCCCGCTAGCAGCCGCTCCTCTAGCCTCCTTCTTTTCTTCTCCCTAAAAAGAGAGAGAATAAAAGAAGGGTCAGTCACCGGGTCAGGTTCGCGTTCCCGCCACCGCTATCGGAGGCGGCTGCGGGAGGGGGGAGGTCAAGGGACCGCCCCCCACCCCCCACGAGCCTCTCCCCCCAGGAGCCCCTTTCCAAGGCAGCCACGGCGAGGGAAGGACGCGAGGCGGGCGGCACCCGCATACTTACGGCTCCTCACCATCCGCCATAGCCGCTTCGCCCACCGGCCTACCCACAATGCACCGCAGCTCCCGAAAGACCAGATTCCCCTCCCCGAAGAGAGAATTCCCGCTTCTCTGTGGGGCGGGCGCCGAGACGGAGAACAAAGAGACACATCCAGAACACACTTCCGGCTTCCTCTCGAAAGCCGCCCGTTCTCGGGGCGTCGAGTCCACAAATCCCTGCGGTTACACGGAACTTTGCTGGCATCTTTTAAAGACATGAGTTTTTGAAGCTAACACCGTTAATTTTTGCGGCCATTTTCGTAAGTCAGAAATCGTTTCATATGATGCATAGAAATAGGCAGAGCTTCATCTGGAGGGCTGGAAACTTGCACTAGGTAATGCTGCTGCAGTTTGGAACATAATGGGCAACTCTCAATCGTTGTTAATAAAAAAAAAGGACCACTATATTTTCTCCCTGTGCTCTCAGACTTTTCATCTTTCAAGGGACGTCCTGTGAGTTCCGTTTGGCATTTGAGAGAATGTCTGTTGTTTCATTTCCAACTGGAGAGTAATACTTTCAGAGTATCCATTTTTGTTTCTTCCTCCCAAAGTACCGAGGGCCCAGCTTGATACCAACGAGCGACCGAGCGGTGCCCACTGAGATCTACAAAGCGTTCGTGCTACAGATTTCGACATGCCGCAGAACCGTGGCCTAAAGACCACCACTACCTCTTTGCTTTTTAACGTCTGGATTAATAGTTCTGGACAACTCAAAGGCTTGTTTATTGCGCTGTGTTACTTTGATTAATCTTAGATATTTTAGTATGGCTTCTGCTTTTGGAGAACCGGAAGTGTCTTGTGTAGACTTGAGACTACCTCTTTGGAGTTTCGACACTTCCCTCTGGCGCCTGGTATAACTATACCGGGAGTGCGCCACTCACTGGAAAGAGATTCAAAGAGATGCCGGCTAGGAGGATAGAGCGCCCCCTCACGCTTTACTTCAGGCGGACCGACAAACGAGTTCTAGGCCATACCTTGGTGGCCTGTTTTAAGATTTATATTGTGGAAGGCTTTCATGGCCGGAATTCATTGGCTCTTGTAGATTTTCCAGGTTGTATGGCCATTGTAGGACCTGATGTTAGGCCAGTAGCTGTGACTGGCATCCTCAGAGGTATAACACGGAAAGATGGAGTACTCTCTGTGTCAAGGTGAGAAGCAAAATGGTAGGCAGGTAATTTATATCTACTCAGGGAGATAGGGCAGAGTCATTATCTTGTAGGAGTTCCCCAGGCTGTAAACATACTAATGGAGGAGCTTTCCTGAGGAGGTTCTTTTGTATATGGATTGGCTGTTTCCTGAGGAGGTGCTTTTGCATATGGGTTGTTTCCTGAGGAGGTGCTTTTGCATGTGGATTGGCTGTTGAAATTCTAATCTTATCTGTAGTGCTATTGTCAGATGTAGAGCCTTTTGTATTTGTCAGAACAGGAAACCATGCCCTATTTATTTTTAAACTCTCTTCCTTCCTGTTGAAATTGTGTTTATATTTATGAATTTCAATGGCTTCCCTGTGTAAGCTGACATGGTAACTGGATGTGTTGTCCAGCCTTTCAGTGTCTTGGAATAAAATACTGTGTCCTTAAAATTCATGTTTTAAGATTGCTGTTTTTTCTGTGTATGCTATATGCCATCAAGTTGCTTTCAACTTTCAGCAACCCCAAGAATTAATGGTCTCCCAAACGTCCTATCATTAACAGCCTTGCTTAGATTCAAGTGGTAGCCATGTTGATCTGAAGCAGCAGTACAAAGAACGAGTCCAGTGGCACCTTTAAGACCAACAAAGTTTTATTCAAGGTATAAGCTTTCCTGTGCCCACCTTCTTCAGATACATTGCAATGGAAGTTACCACTACATATATATACAGGTAGAGGGTGATCCCCCCTCATGGATCACTGCCTTGTCGTGGCGAGGGGGCTTGCGCAGTTCAATGAAGCTGTGGGCTATGCCGTGAAGGGCCACCCAAGACGGACAGGCCACAGCAGAGAACTCAGACCAAGCGTGATCCACCTGGAGAAGGAAATGGCAACCCACTCCAGTATGTTTGCCAAGAAAACCCCATGGACAGTATCAAAAGGCTAAAAGATATGACGCCGGAAGATGAGCCCCTCAGGTCGGAAGGTGTCCAATATGCTACTGAGGAAGAGCAGAGGACAAGTACAAGTAACCCCAGAAAGAGTGAAGCGGCTGGGCCAAAGCCGAAAGGACCCTCAGTTGTGGATGTGTCTGATGGTGAAAGGAAAGTCCAATGCTGCAAAGAACAATACTACATAGGAACCTGGAATGTAAGATCTATGAATCAAGGTAAGCTTGACGTGGTCAAAAATGAGATGGCAAGACTGAACATCGATATCCTAGGAATCAGTGAACTAAAGTGGACAGGAATGGGCGAATTTAACTCAGAAGACCATTATATCTACTACTGTGGCCAGGAATCTCGTAGAAAAAATGGTGTGGCCTTTATAGTCAACAAGAGAGTGCAAAAGGCAGTACTGGGATACAATCTCAAAAATGACAGAATGATTTCTGTCCGATTCCAAGGCAAACCATTCAACATCACAGTAATCCAAGTCTATGCCCCAACCACTGATGCAGAAGAGGCTGAAGTGGACCGGTTCTATGAAGACCTACAACACCTCATAGAACTAACACCAAAAAATGATGTCCTCATCATCATAGGGGACTGGAATGCTAAAGTAGGAAGTCAAAAGGTAACTGGAATAACAGACAAGTTTGGCCTTGGAAAGCAAAATGAAGCAGGGCAAAGGTTAACAGAGTTTTGTCAAGAGAACACACTGGTCATAGCGAACACCCTTTTCCAACAACCTAAGAGGCGACTCTACACATGGACATCACCAGATGGGCAACACCGAAATCAGATTGACTATATAATTTGCAGTCAAAGATGGAGAAGCTCTATCCAGTCAGTAAAAACAAGACCTGGAGCTGACTGTGGTTCAGATCATGAGCTACTCATTGCAAAATTCAGACTTAAACTGAAGAAAATCGGGAAAACCATGAGGCCATTCAGGTTTGACCTAGATCACATCCCTGATGAATATACAGTAGAGGTGAAGAATAGATTCAAGGGTCTGGATTTGATAGATAGAGTGCCTGAAGAACTATGGACAGAGGTTCGTGACATCGTACAGGAGGCAGCAATCACCACCATACCAAAGAAAAAGAAATGCAAGAAAGCAAAATGGCTTTCTGATGAGGCTTTACAAATAGCAGAGGAAAGAAGGAAAGCGAAAGGCAAAGGCGAAAAGGAAAGATTTACCCAACTGAACGCAGATTTCCAGAGAACAGCAAGGAGAGATAAGGAGGCCTTCCTGAATGAACAGTGCAAAGTAATAGAAGAAAACAATAGAATGGGAAGGACTAGAGATCTCTTCAAGAAAATTGGAGAAATCAAGGGAGCGTTCCATGCAAAGCTGGCCATGATAAAGGACAAAAACGGTAGGGACCTAACAGAAGCAGAAGAGATTAGGAAAAGATGGCAAGAATACACAGAAGAACTATACAAGAAAGACCTCAATGTCCTTGACAAACACGACGGTATAATCACTGACCTTGAGCCAGACATCCTGGAATGTGAAGTTAAATGGGCCTTAGAAAGCATTGCTAACAACAAAGCTAGTGGAGGTGATGGTATTCCAGCTGAGCTATTCAAAGTCTTAGAAGATGATGCTGTTAAAGTGCTGCACTCCATTTGCCAGCAAATTTGGAAAACGCAACAGTGGCCACAGGATTGGAAAAGATCAGTATACATTCCAATCCCAAAGAAGGGCAACGCCAAGGAATGTTCAAACTATCGCACAATTGCACTCATATCACACGCTAGCAAGGTCATGCTCAAGATCCTACAAGCTAGGCTTCAACAGTACGTGGATAGAGAACTACCAGAAGTACAAGCTGGGTTTCGAAGAGGTAGAGGAACTAGAGATCAAATTGCCAACATTCGCTGGATTATGGAGAAAGCAAGAGAGTACCAGAAAAATATCTACTTCTGCTTCATTGACTATGCTAAAGCTTTTGACTGTGTGGATCACAACAAACTATGGCAGGTCCTTAAAGAGATGGGAGTACCAGACCACCTCACATGTCTCTTGAGAAACCTGTATAAGGGCCAAGAAGCGACAGTTAGAACCGGATACGGAACAACTGATTGGTTCAGCATAGGAAAAGGAGTACGACAAGGATGTATACTGTCACCTTGCTTATTTAATATATATGCAGAGTACATCATGCGAAATGCTGGCCTGGATGAATCACAAGCGGGAATTAAGATTGCTGGGGAAAAGATCAACAACCTCAGATATGCAGATGATACCACTCTAATGGCTGAAAGTGAAAAGGATCTAAAGAGCCTCTTGCTCAGAGTAAAAGAGGAGAGCGCAAAAGTGGGCTTGAAGCTCAACATCAAAAAAACTAAGATCATGGCATCCGGCCCCATCACTCCTTGGCAAATAGAAGGGGAAGTCGTGGAAGTAGTGACAGACTTCACGTTCCTGGGATCCCAGATCACCGCAGACTGTGACTGCAGCCATGAAATTAAAAGACGCCTGCTCCTTGGGAGGAAAGCGATGGCGAACCTAAACAGCATGATAAAAAGTAGAGACATCACCCTGCCAACAAAAGTCCGCATGGTCAAAGCAATGGTATTCCCAGTAGTCATGTATGGCTGCGAGAGCTGGACTATAAGGAAGGCCGAGCGCCGAAGAATAGATTCTTTTGAACTATGGTGCTGGAGAAGACTCTTGAGAGTCCCTTGGACTGCAAGAAGAACAAATCAGTCAATCCTCAAAGAAATCAACCCTGACTGTTCCCTGGAAGGCCAGATAATGAAACTGAAGCTCAAATACTTTGGCCACCAAATGAGAAGGGAGCACTCACTGGAGAAGACCCTGATGCTGGGAAAGATTGAAGGTCAAAGAAGACGGGGACGGCAAAGGATGAGATGGTTAGACAGTGTCATGACTGAGAGGACCCTATACATAATCCCTCCCCCTCCCACATACATTTTATCAATTATTCCCTTTCT